TGTAATCTAGATATGTTAGCTTACACAGCAGACATGCACCGTTAGAACACTTACTCCTATTGATATAGTACGAAGTAGTGTAGATCATAGCAGGTACATCACATGCGCATCCCGGATATTTATTTTTTTGCCATACACCCCCGTATCCCCCAAGTGCGTCAAAGATCTGTATGTCTTGATGGCCGACGTAACCATCTTGAATCAGAATAGACGCTTGTTGGATGCCATTGATACCTGCCCCAACGATGACAACCTTCTTGCGTCTTTCGAGGGGCACCGATGCGGCTGGAGCAAACTGTGCTTCCTTCTGTCCATCTTGGCTAAAACCCGTGAAGGCACCATATTCGTCTCCATCTACTGTTCCAGAGTCGAAAGTTTTTACTGGTTGTGGCACAGTTGCTGTACTTGCTGTGCCAGTCACAGCTTCTGCATCTTCCGCGTGCATAATCAGGTCGTCTTGTCTTCAGGAATGAGTTTATTTCTTTCTAAAGCCTTCCGCACTGGCTGCTTCAGACACTAGGCCGGCAGTCGTGAAGTATTCGGTCTTCGTCTTGATCGTCTGAGTTGCCCAACTATATTCAAATAATCGCTCCTAACAAAAGTGGTAAGCATGAGTCTCATTCTAGTATGTCAGTGGCTTTTGCTGTAAATTAACGGCCAGCACCAACGCTGTCTCCACAGTATCGATTCACTAGTGTCCGGAGCGCATCTTGAAAAGTTACAGAGCGGAGTACACGTAGCGTGGCAAGTCCGAGTCCGAGACCACTTTCTTCCCGGATAACGTCCGCATTCCCGAGGTTACTTCCCCAGACCTTCAATGCAACGAATTATGGTGCTCAACTGCTTCGGAGTGGTTGTTTCCTTAGTACTCAAAGTTGGCACAGCACGCTGGGGCCCCGGATTCCCCAGGAGAGCCCCTGGTCTACAAAAGGAGGGAGAGTGCTCTATGAGAAGAGCTTTCAGGAGATTCTTTGAGCATATTCTTAATATTAGAAAACCTAACTTGAAAATGAAGCTACTGGCTCTCCACGAAATTGAGTACAGCCATGGCACCGTACACCTGATATCCGGTATGACAACACCCTGGGAATAATTTCGTTCTTCTCACCATACAACAGGCAGTACGAATGCGAAGCATAAGAAAGGTACATCTATCGTGTTAGTGCCTCAACCTACGAACGACCCAAATGACCCTCTGGTACGTCTTCTCGTTGGCTAGGGTGTGTGCCAATCTGAGTAAACATATAGAACTGGCCATATGCCAAACGAGTGGCTGCTTTCTGGTCTGTACTGTGGTTGTCAGGCCTGTGCAACTTCTGCATCACTGGCCTGGCTCCAGGCTTTGAACAAATCATACCTGAGTTCAACATCAGTGTTACGCAGGCTACCTGGCTAATCTCGGCATGTCTGCTGGGCGAATTCATGGGCTGCTACACTATAGCGCCTTTTGCGACTAAGTTCGGGAAGCGCCCGGTATGGTTAATCATCGGAGTCGTCTTCTTCTTTTGCAACCTGTGGGCATCTGTTGCAAAATCCTATGTTTCCCTACTGCTGGCGAGGTTTTTTGCGTCTTGGGCAAGTAAGTCACATTGCATAATCACAACCTGAAATCCCTGTTTGAAATGATTTAGTCTAAGTTCTCATCTAGGCGGGACTAGCGAGCCTCTCAGCGTAGATACTCTTCACGATCTCTTTTTCTTGCATGAGAGAGGGACACACGCAGGCGTCCAAGGTATCTGGCTCAGCTGGGGTAGCTCATTGGCTCCAGTCATCTGTGGCTATTTGATCGAGCGAAAAGGATGGCGTTGGTATCATTGGCTGACTACCATCATGGCTGGAGTTGATCTCATACTAATCTTCTGCCTCACCCCAGAGACGCAATATACTCGGGATCTACATACAGCTCTTGACTCGGTTGGTCCTAATGATGAAGATCCCGATCAGATGCCCCCGGAAGTTGATCGAACAGATGACATGAAGCCAGAATCTAACCTCGAGAATGCGGAAATCTGCGCGAATGAAACTATATCTCCTCAAAAGAAGACATGGGTGCAAGAATTGAAGCCATGGTCTCCGGTTCAGAAAGATGTAAACTTGATCGGCTCATTCGTACGGCCTTGGGCAACTTGGTGCTACCCAAGTGTCGTCTGGTCCGTTTTATCTTTCTCGATCCATGTGACTGCGTATGTATACCATCGAAATCGAGTTTAGGATATCCACACCTTGTCTGAGAATGTGGCTAACTCTGCACAGAGTGGTGGTTTTGATTACTACAGTCCCCGTCTACTTCAGTGCTCCTCCCTACAATTTTGGAGCAGGACAGCAAGGTTTAGTCTTCCTTAGCTCCTGCATTGGGAATGCTTTCGGTTCAATATTCTGCGGCTACGTCAATGACAAGGTTAGTCAATGGTCGACCCGTCGAAACAATGGTGTGTTCGAGCCAGAAATGCGACTACCTCCTGTTATTTTCCCAGCCGTACTTGTGCCTGTTGGGCTCATAATGTTCGGGGTTGGGGTCAACAATGGTATTCACTGGATTGTGCCGGTGATTGGAGTGGGCCTTGTCGGCATTGCACTCACTGGAATCGGCTCGATAATCCAACCTTATCTCATGGACAGCTACACGCCCGTACTCTTTGATTGTCTGGTGGTGAGTACCTTCAGTATCAATAGCTTGTCATGCGACAGCCTACTAATGCCTCTGGTAGACTTTCAACGGTTTCAAGAACCTTGTGTCGTTTGCGATAGGATTCGCAGTTGTTCCCTGGCTGGAACAGAATGGTGTTGTCACCGTGTTCTGTATTCTTGCTGCGCTGGTGTTGGCCATTGACGCAGCAGTTGTCACTATATACCTTTACGGGAAGAAACTCCGACAACGCGATTCTCGACTGAAGATATTCCTTTTCTGACAAGGTCACGATAATTTGTCATGATTACCGACATGATCACAGTATACAAAGGCGCTATCTCAGAAACTATAAGCAATTGAGGATAATCTGCAGTTGATCACAACTGATAGTCGAACAAGGCATTGAAGGACCGTGCGTTCAAGAATGTTAAATTTTGATCATTTCTGTCATTTCTAATTCATACCATACCAAAAGGACCTCGCTTTGCGATGGTGTAAGATTCTCTTGGAAGAAGTAATGCCAGGGAATCCAATGGATGCTCGAGGACTCTATTGAAAATCTCAGTTATCTTGCAACGTGAATCAGAGACGCAATTCAAGGCATCACAAATCCTCCGTTGACAGGAATGCAAGCACCTGTTATCCATCCACTCCTTTTCTCACACAGAAAAGCAATTAGATATGCAATTTCCGAGGGCTCAGCCATCCTTGGTCCCATCGGTGTCGCGTCAAGCATAGGTTGAATCTTTTCCAAAAACTTTGGGCCAGCATGATTAAAGCCATGTGTATTCGTGGGCCCTGGCTGTACCGCGTTTACAGTGCAGCGAAATCGTGGCCCCATCTCCCTGTAAGATAATTAGTCGTGACTGATTATAAGAGCTTCGACCACGCAACTGTTACTCACAATGCCCAGCATCGAGTAAAAGATTCCACCATAGATTTCGTACCGTTGTAAATGGTCGACCCTACGTATCCCTGGCGAGCGCCAACACTGCTCACGTTGACTATCCGACTCTCTTGGGCCAGGTGAGGCAACACTGCTTTAGTGAGGATCAACATACCCCTGACATTGAGGTTCACTTGGGAATCCCATTGATCCATTTCAACGTCGCCCAGAGGTCGCATTATAGCGATGCCGGCATTGTTAATTAAAATGTCCACTTTCCGGCCAGTCAGACGAAGAGTCTCATCCACGAGAACTTGAGGCCCATCGAGGGTAGATAGATCGGCCTCGATTGCTAAACACTGTTCAGCTGCCACGGCTTTGGTACTTTTAATTTGTGCTAGCACGTTCTCCGCATCACTCTTCTGATCAGGCCAGGGATAGTTTACAACGACAAGAGCTCCCCTGCGCAAATACTTTTAGTCTTTGTTTTGCAGTGCACGGGTAGTATTCACCTAGAAGCCAGCTCTATGCAAGTTGCAGCGCCAATCCCCCTGGCACTTCCACTCACGACTGCCAACTTTCCTTGCAAAGTTTGCTCGACTGCCATCTTACAAAATGCAATCTCTACCTTACTCCCATGCAGATGTTGCTCACACAGCGATTCATATACGTGGAGCGAATCTTTTAACGATGATTTTCGCCAAGCACCACCCAAACTCCGTATTGCTGTCGCCAGGATTCCCGAAAGCCATGTTCAAGCTTTCTCAATGAACTTCTATTGCCGGAGTCCGGGAAGACCACACTAGGCGCTGGAGCGGCCACCTTCAAGACCCGAAGTTCCTGGGGTGTTGGGAGTCGCCGGATACTCGGGTGCTGGTTACGGGACAGGCGGGGGATTTGAAGCTAGAAAGGCACTAACCCCAAGCCTTGGCGATGCCGGACGGCCCCCCGGTCGTGGCACATCTCAGACATCTTCTTGATTATCGCTTCGAGTCATGCGTGTCATGCGTGCATCGTACTCGAGAACGCGGGACTGCCATTTCACGTTGTTCACTCGAGCATCTGCCTAAAGATTCATCTGTTAAAGTCATCACGGCGGACCCCGGAGCCATGAATTTCACTGAGGATTCGTCCTGGCGGTATGCGCGGTATCATTGCTCAACATGCTCGCGCCCGTTTGACCGCAAAGACACTCTTGCAAGGCATATGCAGGTCCACAACCGACGAGACAATGCAGAGAAAACCCGGCGAAAAGCCTGTATCTCGTGTTGCCGATCAAAGACTCGTTGCAGTGGTGAGCGACCTAAGTGTGCATCATGTGCACGGCGCGGCATAGACTGCGTTTACGAAGGTCGCGCAAGAAATCAGCAACAGGCGGAAAGAAATCAGTTTTCACCGCCAACTAGGCAGCCTGACGAGGCTAGATCACTCTCTTGTGAGGGCGACTGCGCTAAGAATGTATCAATATTGAATTCCAACTCACCCATGCCACCTTCTCAATCCCCAGACAGCAGCCTTGCCCAAGTCTGTATACCTGCAGTCAGTGGCTCCTGTTATGTTGCAAACGAGGCTGCGACCTTGGATGCAACACCAGGTCTACAACCTCAAGCTCCCTTGGAGAACTTATTGTACACGACTTTTGATGACATGGATTTCAATTCGAATCTTGATTGGATGCTGGATGAGAGCGACACCGGCAATAACCTTTTCAGTCCATCCGACATTTTTGGTTACTCTGCTTCCAGTGACACCCAATGTTTTCAGTCATTCCTGATCTCGGCATCCCAGACAGCAGTCTCATCACCGAGGCACTTTGACGTTGTCGACAGTCATATGAACACTCCAGATCAAGCCCTGGGAGGGCTTCTAACACCTCAACCACAAGAGACTTGCTACACAGGGGACCCATGGCCCGTGGAAACACCGAGACCGCCGCAAAGACAGATTTCACTTCCGGCGCTGGGACCGCAGGGTTTTGCAAATCGCGCAATCACTCGCTTCTCATCAATAACGGCTGTGGACACAAGAACCTGGCATGGACTCCAAAAATGCCTCATGCTGCCATTTGAGCACAACAGGTTCCAATCCCTTGATATTGCGCAGTTCCCTGCGAAAGAAATGCTTGATGACTGTATTGACCTTTTTTTCGCACACTTTCATCCAATGCTCGATGTTGTCCACCAGCCCACATTCGATCCTTCAAAAGACTTGGTGGTCACATTGTCCATTATCAGTGTTGGTGCTTGCTACTCAGATTTTAGTGGTGCCAAACTGTTCTCCATTGCGCTATCGGAGTTGGTCCGAAAACTACTGGTCTTTATGGCTGAGTCAGACCGCCGATTTGTCCGAACTCGATCTTATGTTACTGCTCAACTCTTGCAAGGAACTCATGGTTACTGTAGTGGGAGCGAGCGGCTTTTTGAACTCAGCGAGTCATGCCGTGGTACCATCACTCATCATGCCAAGTGTATGGGGCTCTTTCGAGCTGATAATCCTGAGAATCCAAAGCCTGGAAAAACTCTTGACGAAACATGGAGAGCCTGGGTTGACGCGGAGGGTCTTCGCCGATTGGGCTGGGCCGTGTACAAATATGATGCTTCAGTAGCCTATCTACACAACAATCGGCCATTCTTGAGCACAGGCGATGTAAACCTGCCGCTACCAGCATCAGTTGAACACTGGGGTGCCGAGTCGGGTCAAGCATGGGCAGCACTCCACCCCTGGTCACAGGTGTGTCCTTCCAGCCCACGACTGCGTCCTACCATTCGATCCTTTTTCGACAACACGCAAAGGCCATTAGAGAATATTGTAGTTGAAGAACATATCTTCCTGATTACCCTGACTTTGGTTCGGATGCTGTGGACACTTAAGGAGATCCGCTCATCCCCTATTAACGACCTTGTGTCGCCTCCAGTGTACGACAATGGCCGTCAGACCCTTCTGCAAGCGCTTGACGGCATGATGGTGTCCGTTGTGCCTTTCTCAAAGCTCCATACCAAAGCGGAGATTGATCGTGTGGTGCATCGAATGCAACTCATCCATGTGGCTCATCTATATGGGGCAGGAGACTTGATGAACTGGCTCTGGCCATCCCTTCGGGACGGCCCGGAAGCAGAAAATGCCAGAGAGCGCATGAGACAATGGAGCAATGAAGACATGCAAAGAAGTCGAAATGTGGTATACCATTGTGCTCAGTTGCTGGGGTTGATCCGGCATTACCCGAATAATATGCCATTCGAGGTGTTCTTGATATTTCATGCCGGCGTGGTGCTTTCATGCATAGTGCCGCTACTCGAAGCCGAAATGTTTCGAGAACGAACAACTGTTCTGCATCTTGATCAACTTGACTCCGGAGATGAGCTTTTGTTCAAACGGCACGATGATTGGGTCAAAAACGGCGGCAATACTCAGCTATGCCTGACTGGTGTTCCTTCCTTATGCTCTGCAGGCGCTCGGCGAGCTATCCTCGATCAAACAGCTTTACTGCTGCGGCGCCAGAAGGTGTGGGGCATGGCACGTAATTTAACGAAGGTAGTCCTTTCTCTAGGAGCCCGAAGTGCAGAGATGCAAGCTCCAGAGGAGCAGTTGATTTGATGAAAGCTCTTCCTGTGGGATTTTGTTGCTCATCTGCAACCCCCACAATGCTTAAATTCATGCTACAGCCTTATTCATCGTCTATTCTTGGATCGTTCCAGGATATCACCATTCCATTCAGTACCTTTGGAATACCTCGTAGGGCGAGCTTTGCAAACGAGTTGGCGGGCTGTTGTGGCCTGAGCAGTTCTCCTTTGGTATGCAGAGAACTCAACCACTCGTGCTGTTGTGGGGTCATATTCGACTTGTCTACACTTAGTGTCACAATGATGCTCACTTCCATACAACTTCGCAAAAAGGCGTTCTTACGTTCTTCCCTTGCCTGGCCTTGCATTCCCGAGTCGACAATCCCTGGGGTCACGCAAAGGAATCTCACCTGGTCTTCCTCGGTGGGAAGACAACTGCATAAGCAATTCATGGCCGCCTTTGAGCATGCATACGGAACCCAGGATGGAAACGGCCGCAATGATACACCCGAAGATGTCATCAAAACCTGACCATTTACTCTTCGTAGGTACGGGAGAGCGAGCTGGATCTGGAAATTTCAATCATTAGCAAAGCTCTTTAAGTAGTGCTGAGCACTGGCTTCTACTACTCACAGCATGCACAAGTGCAAAAAAGTTTATGTCGAAGAGATTCTTCCATTCTGCTACTGCTGTTGCCTCGACACGACCAACCGGGCTCAACACGCCAGCATTTAGAATGAGGCAGTCAACTTTTCCCCTCCGGTTAAGAGCTGTTTCGACCGCCCTTTGACTCACTGATCGGTCCGAAACATCACCTTGGATGACTGTAAGCCTTTCCGAATGCAAGTCTATCAAGGCCTTGAGTTTTTCCGTGTTGACATCTATGGTAATGACCAGAGAAGTCGCTTCATCATCCAATAAGGTATTGGCAATAGCAAAGCCTATTCCGGCACCTGCACCTGTAACTATGCTAATCAATCGGTTGTGAGATACTTTCCTAGAAGTGCCAGGAGATACTCACATTACTTTGCCATTTGCACTATTGAAGCTGCCCAATGGCATTGAGGAGGAGGAGGCCATATTTCATCAGAAGGAGCAAAGAATCTTCTGTGAGCTCATTCAAGTATCTGCAGTATTAAAGAATCAATTCTGATCTTGCCTCAGTTAATCAAATACTGCCAGATGAAAAGTCGCCAGAGGCAAAATTATTGTAGCTTTATGTGTGAAGATAGTGCGGTCTAGAATGTGGAAACATATGCTTGTTTTTATTCCTAGTAAGCATCGCTGAAACGGAGTTGAGATCGAGTCAGTGGCTGCATGGGGACTCGTTCTGTGACAGGAGAGGTTACCGGACCTTCGAGCGGGACCTCCGTGCAATACTACGCGAGTGTTGAATTCAAGAGAGTACAACGTACGAAAAGAATGTGGAGCTAGAACCGTGAGCGGACTTCCATGCGGTGGTATCGGGCAAGAGACATGCTCCATATGAGCCCCAAACGAGAGCACAGGTTCTTTGTGATGGTTGGGAGACATTTTAGCACTCTCAAGACTGTGCCCTCTTGGAATGTCACATATACCATAATATGATCAAGAAGTAACCAGGATGGAACAAGATACGAACGGACTTGAAGTAGCCCAGGCCAGGGGATCCGATCAGCATCAGCCGAAACAACACCTATCCCAACACGAATCATTATTGGAGTTGCCACCGGCCCCAGAGCCAGGCACACCTTATATATCACAAACAATCTTGTGCCGGGTACCAGCTACCAAAGACTACGTATTGAATCATGTCGCTCTTCAGATCGAGTCTCCGGCGTCTTCATTGGCCTTCTACATCGACTTTCTCGGGATGAGCCTGATATTTGTTGTCAATACTGGACCATTTACTGCTTATTATCTTGGTTATCCCCAGAAGTCCGACGTGTCTCCAGCGGATATGGCTGCAGAAACAGGTGTAAGGTCAGGACTACTCGAACTCATTTCACTGCATGATAAAGTCGACGACACTCCGGAAACATCGCCGAGCAAGCGACGTGGTTTCGCCCATCTCGGCATCCGTGTGCCCGACGTGAGTGAGACCTTGAAGCTGGCCAAGGAGAAAGGTTGGAAGGTTATCAAGCATTTAGACAATGTCGAACCTTACGACATGCCTTTACCCGGAAAGATTCACGGAGCCTGGCAGGCCGGCTTTGACCAGACATTTGCGCAGATAGGATTTCTCGAAGATCCGGATGGGTGAGCATGCTAGTACGCCCCAATATGCAAAACTGAATGACTGACTCGTAGTAGGAATTCGATTGAGATTCTACCTAGGCAGCTCAAAAGATAAGCCAGACTTGCCATATTCTATAGATAGACAGTGCCTAGCTCGAACGACATAAGAAGGATGCATAGCAACAAGACTTACACCGCAACTTTGGAGAGCTAAAATGCTCTCTTGTACTTGAGACGAGTACACCGAAAATGGTACCAATCACGAAGCACTTCGAAACCCTTGTCGATGAGTCAGAATAGAACTATGTTAGTAGCCGCATGCCGAAGGAGGTATGGTAGATATTATGGAATAACTAGTTGTAAATCTCTAGTCTGGCGCCTTCTAGAGCAACGAGAGGGTCTCGGGGCTAATAATATCGAGCCACCACTCGGAATACCACAACCGCCTTGCTGCGTGTGATCGTAAACCACCTAGGGTCCGAGGGAAGTAGCGTGTCACAATGGGCGTACTATCACTCTCATAATTACCCTCCATCACTCCCACAATTACTCTACATCGACACTGCAAGCATTGTGACTACCGGATATCACTATGGGCAAGAAAGACAAGATCTTCTGGGAGGAAGATACTGTCATGGATATAGTGGTGACCAATAGGAAGGTTACATCTCGTGTGGGTTTGGAGTCCTTATAAAGACTAGGAGCTCGTCCACAAGAGTAGCGCACCGTTGAACCGCCTCGACACCACTAGCTTGAGCTCCTATAACAGCAACTCTCTTGCCGCTTGCGTTGATGCCTTTGTTCCGGAAGCTAGAATGGATAAGCTAGGCCTTGCAGGTGCTCAAGCCCTTGAACTCCGGAGTATAGCGTTTGGCAGCAGGTCCTGTACCACAACCTGCTTGTCTGATCTCGAACACTCTACCATCATCACAGGTGACGACCAAAAGGGCTCTGACTTCGAGATGTGGCCGAAGTGACAGTTGTGTCAAGCAGCATATCGTTGCGAAGGTCGAATGTTTTCGCAACGTGGTGCAAAGTATGCATGTAGCTCTGGTCCAGGGGGATACTCATCATCCATTCCCAGACTTCCAACCCTCTGGGGTGGAAAGATTGTAAACGGGGTATTGACTATCGACTTCGATACCAGGATATCGATTCCAGTGCCAGACACCACCAACATCGGATACAGGTTCGACCACTCTGGCCTTGCCACTCTTCAAGCTCTTCTCATTCTGTCACACTACGAGGCAGCAGAAGCACATGATTCTCGAGGTAAGCCGTAGCGGTATATCAAAGCTATTGGTGAGGCAGGTAAACACCCATGCTCTCGGCTTTCCAGGGTGGATATATTCAGGCAAGCATTTTCCAGAAATGATGTCCAAAAGCACAACATTCAGCTAACACTGCTGCAGGTATGGCAGTTCAGTTGGCACACGATCTCGCTCTCGAGGTTGATATTCAACTTGAGGCGTGGGCGGAGGGTGTATCTTCCATCTCGATAGCACGTCGATCCATCCTGTGCGCTACTACATCGTCATAAATGTACGCTGGCCACGTTCTTGTCCTTCCAGATTGTGTTATTGGCATTGCTAACAACTGTTGGACACCAACAGATTCTGGAGCTGGTCTCACCGGACGACCCTCGCATTTAAATAATCAATGGCTCGCCGAGTTATCTCCTGTCTTCAACCTGGGGACGTCTCGGGATAGTCACAGAGATGACTGGCCCAGTATAACAAACACTGGCAGTACAGTCTCCTCCACGGTCCCGTATTCTCATAGCCCTATGAAACATGCATGCAGCATTTTGACTCGCTTGTATGTTCGAGATACATTCTGCCTTGAGTGTGACTGACCTTTTTGATCAGCTACGACTACACAAAAATCACTGGTTTCCAAGAAATCTCGGTGATTGAAGACATGCTCGAAACCCTCGAAACGTGGTTCGAGTCCCTACAAGGACTCTTTAAGATTTCCATAGCCAAAAGCCAATCTACCGGTAGGCAAGTGAGCCCTTGGATACTTGACTTGCTGTAAGTGTCGCACAATCAGCCTCCATTTCAGCAACATAGTCTCAATTGCTGAGCGTTCTTCTATCTTGAAAGATTCGTCTTCTGATAATTTTGATCTAGTATGCTATCTGACACAGCAATTATCTTGCTTCTACGTCCGCTTCTACAGTATCAACCGAACGGGTCAACCGATCACACCTTGAGCAAAGGCCGAGATCCGCGGAAAATGTGCACAGCCGCAGCTGCCTCTATCCGCCATGAGCTAGAGCTTGATCGATCTAATTTTGGGCTTCGGCGACCGAGCGTCAACAGGGACTTTTATACTATCACAGCTGGGGCATTGCACTTGGAGAGCTTAAGCCTGGGCATGATCGACAGCCAAGCAGAGTCTCAGGCGCACTGTCTAGCTTGTATGCGCGCTCTCGGAGAGATGAGCCAAACCTTGACTTGTGCAGTCTGAGGCATCAATTTGCTCAATACCCTGCAGCGAGATTGGCGGAAGACTAGGTTTGAGCAATCACGACTAGAACAAAAGCATTAAACAATTCTAGAAACTGGATTATTATAGTTATGAGAGAGACATTTAACCTTTCATCTTTTGTGATAAACGAAAATTATATTTAGCGATATGGTACAATGTTAGGACATTAGAACGACATTAGAGTAGGACTACTTAACGTTTGCACGGTGGGTTCGAAGTTCGTCACAGCTTCTAACGACCAACACTTCGCCGATATCAATTTAGAGGTCAATCTGAAGCTTGTGGGCAAGAAGTCAGTAAGGACTAATAAGTCCCAAACCTCGTGTCTCTTCATCAGCAACACAGTGGATACTTACATCCCTAGTACAATGGCAATGAGACTTTGATGTATATTGCGCAGAGCCACCGCAGTCGTGTACTTGATCAGTCTAGCACGAACCTTGTAAAGGTAGCCGGAAATTCTTTCACTGGCTAACCTCCTTCCATTGAAATAATCATTTTGTATACATTTCATCTATTAAATGATTATGCTATAATACATTAGATAGTTGATGGTTGTTCTAACTGCTTGTATTCCAACCAGTTACCTCGGGCCTTGCCATTTCTCTCTCACGGCCAATTCAACATTTAGGAGGAAGACTCTGGTGCCTCCTTTGGCGCCTCCATATCAGCAGACTTCGCAACGTCTACTCCTTGCTCTTGAGTCTGGATGGTCTTCTCGTTGACACTGTCAAGTTCAGATGTTAGTTCAGACTCGTGACCTTCATGCTCCAACGTCTTCGCGGCGGTTGTATCTTTCAAGGTGTCCGTGATGAAGATCAGGTCAATCTCTTCTAGGGTTCGACCACGAGTCTCGGGACAGCAGAAATACACTGTCGTCAGGTCAGCACGCTGGCTTTCTACCATTTGAAGATAACGCTCACCGTAGGGTATGGCAATGAAGTTAAAGACCAAGAACCAAATCCAAGTCTTCCATCCAACACTCTTATCAGCAATTGCGATAGGTCCGGCAAAGACGGTGGTAAAAGCCCTGTGAATGTAAGCATAGGAAGCAAGCGCGCAGATTGGTAGCACTTACATGAGCCACTGGGACGACACGCTGAGAGCAAATCCAATATGACGGTATCGAAGGGGCATAATCTCAGAGGCATATACGTACTATCATAGTCAGTGTCTATCGCCGTGGTAGGAAAACTTGTACTTACGGTGACAGGACCCCAAGTCGGACCGAACACGGCGATCCAGATAAAAAGCATGGCGGCGGCGGCGGCACCAGTCTTTGTGCCTGGAGACGACAAGAGACCTGTAAAAGTCGCCATGAAAATGGTCTGGACTACAGCCCCGGTGATCAGCCATGTGCGGCGGCCAAATTTCTCCATGTAGTAGACGCCAAGGTAGTTGGTGATGGCAAGGACCGTGGTTGCTGTTCCGGCAAGCCCAGAAGATGTCAAGGGTTCCAGCCCGATGTAGACTTGGAAGATTGTCTGATAGGGTTCGTTAGTGTCCATCTCATGCGAACTCGTTCTCATCTTACTGTCATGTAGTAGAATATCATGTCGATACCCATGAGGTAAGCAATACCGATCAGGAGAACACCTGTGCGGATTCGGCGGGCCACTTGCATGCTGGAGCTGTCCCAGAAGAAGTCCATTACTTTCAAACTGGGAGCCGCAGCAAGTTCTAGTTCCAGGGCAGCAAGAATTTCCGCTTTGGCTTGTTGAACACGACCCTCGGTCAAGTCCATACCATAAACTTGCTCGAGAGTAGAATCGGCTTTCTCGACCTGACCTTTGGCGTAATAGTATCGAGGAGTTTCGGGCAGGCGCATGAAGGCTATCATGGTGGAGACACCCCAGAACGCTTGGAAAGCGACAGGAAACCTCCAAACTGCCTGAGTTCCATGGGCAAACACCATGCCAAAGTCACTGAAGTTGTCAGGCATCAGTGTCCAGCTTTGATATACGTAGGTCACTTACACCCAGTATGCCAGGGCAGTCCCAAGACTAGCAGCTGCAATCATTGCGTTGACACCTCTTCCACGAAGCTTTTTCTCAGTGGCAATCTCGGCCATGTAGACCGGAATCATCGAAGTAAGGAATCCGTTGCCAATGCCCTTGGACACGTTAGTTAATGCTCTGCCATGGTGAAGCCCTAACAACATACGATGAAGACTCTACCGGCGACTGCAGAGAAGTGTTAGCAAGACATTACAATGGAAGAAGATCGTAGCTCTTACTCAACTGTCCGTAGCTGTATGAAGATGCTGAGATAATGGTTCCAACAAGCTCGACAGCGTTGCCTAGCAAGATCCAGTTCTTCCGGCCGAGGTGAATACCGAAGAATGTAATGACCATGCAGCCAAACCACGAAGCAAGCAGGAATGTCGAAGTAATCATCGATATCTTGTACGTGTCTGTCGGATTCTGCGCAAGATTGTCAATCGACGATGCTTCCTTCAGCACGAGATTGCAACTTACCCCGACAGCGGACATGAATTCTGGTGTCAACAACACCCCCCCTAAAACACCAGCATCCCATCCGAATGTAATGAAACCTAAACTTCCCGCGAAGAGGGCATTGTAGTACAGTTTGGTTCCTTGGAGCACCATCTTGCCAGTAGCTGCATGCAAGATCTATTCGCGAGGAAAGCTGTTGTTTCACAGACGCAGACACGAGAGAGAAAAAACAGAAGTGAAAGAAAAGGTCAGGAAGGAATGTACTTGTGCAGATCTTTACTAGAGGAAGCTATTTCGATTGAATACTAGTGCTCAACGTTCCTTGACTACGAGGCCATGAGATCCTTTCCACGAAGAGGAAGCTATCTCGGTTGAATGCTAGTGCTCAAGACTATGAGGGGATGCCAGAAAGGGCCAGGTTCGCCTGATTCGCAATTCATTATGTTGATCTGGCTTGGGTGTTTGATATTAAGAAGCGGTGAAGACCTTACAGCTGTCGCTTCTCCACTAGCATGTCAATAGTGCTGTGTGCATAAGGGGTCTCCCGAGGTAGAGCGTGTCCTGGCGAAACGACGCGTGGCAGCTAGCAGTCTAGGACTGAAAACTTCGTGTGAAAACTCTGTGAAAGCATGTGCTCGAGTATAGTGGGCCAGGTACTTTACAATACCTGGCGGTGTCGGAGACTCGTGGTCTAACAGCTCATGTCGATCAGGGCTAACCGCGGGGACGCTTATTTCCGAGCCAACTGGATGCATCTCGGCATCGTTTGGGCACATCGTCGAAGCGAGTCAATGGGAAATTAGGAGAACCTGTACGGATACGAGTACGGGACTTCGTTCGGCGAAGCTCACAACGAGTCGCCACGACTGCTCCACAGTGCAGCGAGTGCTATTTATCAGTATAGCGAGCTAGTACATATGCTGGGCGATCGACAGGAGCCGTTCCGCGGATCCACATGCCGACTCTTCGTGCTTAAATGCCTAACTCGGGCGTTCCGGGATTCTTAAACTTTACAAGAGAAAGTGAATCGCGGCACTTGCATTAGCCAAGCAAGTGTGCTGTCCTAGAGTATTCCCGAGTCCTCCGTAACGTGATCAACATTCATGTTTCTCGAAGGTCCAAGAAAATGGTTCCCAGAGTATGTACTCCGTACGATCGCCTATCCCCCAAGGTGAACCCTTCCGACTTTTTGGGGTGAGCAAAAACAACCTGAAACAGCCCAAGAGTCGTTGATTTTTCTGAGATAAAACTTGGGCAAAGTGCGGAATTTCTACCACTTGTGCAAACTTCCCTCCTCATACGTAAACTGTGGGCAGTCAGGCCGCGAGAAGCGAGATCGCATCGATCGCCATGTTGGCAGTGTTGGTTCTGGGCTTGGTTTCCCTCGTTGCCTTTCCGTTCCTCTACCAGATCTTTCGATACCGATTTCTCCATCCGCTGTCAAAATTTCCCGGACCGTTTTGGGCCAGTGTGACGAGATTGTACACGTCGTACTACAATGTCAAAGGCATTGAGCACGACCACCTGCTTGATCTACACCGACAATATGGTAAGCATTATGGCTAAGGTGAAATCCAATCGCTAACATGTGGACTTCCTAAAGGCCCTGTGGTTAGACTCACGCCCACGCTGCTGTCAATCAGTGATGCCACAATGCTTCCTAAGGTATACAGCCGCTACGCCGACAAGAGCCAACATTACATAACTGGGAGCTTTGGAAAGACGGAAAGCGTATTCAACATGCAAAATCACAAGCAGCATGCTCAATTCCGCAAAGTGATCGCTGGCCCGGTATGTTTGGGAACTTTAAGGATTCTCGCAGACGCTAAACCAGTAATAGTACAGTTTCTCAAATGTCAAGAGGATGGAGCCTCTTGTCGATGCTAGAATAGAGGACTGGACTGAAAGAATGGTCGAGAAATTCGCCAATACCGGTTCCAAATTCGACTTTGCTCCTTGGGCTGTGTAAGATTAGCTTGACTTCGTGCTCGAGGGTGCCTGCTTACACTTGTAGTTACATGGCATACGATATCATCTCCGAGATAGGATTTGGTGCACCGTTTGGATTCATCGAGAAAGGAGAGGATGTTGCTGGCCTGATTAAAGGTTTTCATGATGGACTGCCCGCCTTTGGTATGATGGCTAGGTTGTATCCTTTCACGAACTGGGTCAAGTCAACCTGGGTAGGAGAGAAGTATCTCGTCGCAAAACCTGAGGACGAGAGCGGCATAGGAATTCTCATGCGCTTCCGGGACAAGTTGATCACTGAAAGGCTGGACATGATTTCCAAAGGAAAGGCACAGGGTCGAATTGATCTTCTACAAACGTGAGTTAGGACCTGTTCGGGCAGAGCATTCTGACGAAAACCAGATTCCTTGACGCGCGAGACGAAGACGGGAAGCCGATGGATATGAGTTGGATCAAGGCCGAGGTACTTCTGGTGCTCCTTGCTGGAGCTGATACCACCGGCACGGCATTTCAAGGTCTGATGCGAATGGTCATGTCTAACCCAGAAGTTTACAAGAAGATGATGGCGGAGATCGACGAGGCTACCAAAGCAGGACATCTCTCGAAGATGCCGCAGTACGAAGAAGTGACCAAGCACTGCCCGTACTACGTTGCTTGTGTGAAAGAAACCATGCGTCTCTATCCATCGGCGCCGAACATCTTCCCTCGATTGGTAGGTGCTGGTGGCTTGGAGATAGATGGCAAGTATATTCCTGAGGGAACAGAAGTCACGTGCAACCCATGGGTCGTTCACCGCGATACAAAAGTCTTCTCCCAGGACGCTAACGAGTTTCGTCCGGAACGCTGGCTCGAAGGCGCGGAGCGTGCTAAGGACTACGATAAGTATAACATGGGATTTGGCTATGGCCCCAGAGTGTGCCTTGGAAGAGACATTGCTCTCATGGAACTCTACAAAGCTCCTATTCATGTTAAACCCCCAACAAAACCCCCTCTTACGTGGACGAGACTGACCTTGGACACAGTTCTTCAGAACGTTTCAACCGGAAGTGCTGGATCCCGAAAACATGGGACAGTTTGTTGTAAGAGGTGGAGTGGCCTACTGGACAAATATGTGGTTGAAACTATCTCAACGCCTAAGTACTCTGTAAAGTATGCAGCTCCATACTCTCGATAGCTTTCTCATTCACATGTGCCTGAGCCCCTCGACGACCATAGTGGGAGGCCCGATCCTAACTTCGCATTAAAGATACGAGGATCTTCGCAATCACCGAATCGCTACATAAATTTTGGGCCCATGCTGGTTAGGAATGCCACCGATCCAAGGGCGCAGTGCACTGTGTCTCAAGTTCTTCGTATTTCGCCAGCTAAGCCTATATTGGAGCCCGAAAGAAATGGTTCGAATCGTTAAGGATCTACTGACCCGCCCATCGCAACGAACATGAACATGAAGAGATGAAGAAGTACTGTATGGAGGACAAAATGACATTCAACACTGATCGACAGGAGAAGGCGTTTTTTGGAGTGTAGTCCGATTTGATGGATACAACGCAGACTGACTCCACTACTGGTCGACGGTGCAGAACGGAATATTATTACGCAAACCGACTTGAAGGCCTGCTGGATTATGTAGAAGCACCCGCCCCAAGATCGACCGGATTGCTGTTACAGAATTTCACTATCATCATGTTCCATGCCTTAGCTTAACGGCGATTGGCAAAACCATTACTTCATTCGTAGACCCAATTCGCCCGGTTGCCCGCTTTCTGCTTAGCTTCTCAGCCTCTATTATACTAGCCGTTCGATCATGGCTCCTTTGCAATGGATTGCGACCTGACCCTAGCAGGGGTCGTTTGCAGGATCCAGACGGATCTTCTACCCGCGCCGACCCGAAAGGTGGCGCCTCAAAGCCTGGTCCAAAATACTCATTGTACCATACTACCATGCGTAATTAGTGGCACTCACTACTGGAACTGCATGAGCGGGGCAGGAAATGCGAGCCTTTCGACGCTTCACCCAGCAGTAAGACCTTGACTTTTCCAGGTAGCCCTGGAGACTCTTTCTCTGGACCCATGCCATTCAGGGACAAGCACCGCCCCTATGACGAGGGTAACCCTGCGCCTAATCTCCAGACGATGCGTCCAGTACGAATACTTGTGACACCGTAAGTCAAGAACGAGAGTCTCCAGCGTTCGGCACGCGTAGCCTTGCTTCGTCAAACTCCCTCCGAGCACTGGTACATACAGTTGCAAGGATGTTAAAACCCTCGTCGTCAAATAGCATGGAAAATCTCTTCGGCAATTGGTAAGGACGAGATGCACTGTAACTTGTAAGTCGCTCCGATGGATCTCATATGGAGAGACGAATATTGTACGGAATTGTCGTCGTCTGCATGCGAGGTTAGTTCGTGATATCCCCTGTGGTGTTTCCCCATATACAGGATACGATAGCTAACGTTTTGCCACGTCCTGAAGCAAAAGCGACAGGGTCCTAGAGAAGTAGATATAGCCAGAATCCTTCAGGACTGACTCTTTCTTACCTTTTCTTTTCTTTGTCTTGATCAGAGTTGCTTGTACACAGATATTTGCACAGAACGCGGATCCCAAGTGCCATCCGCTTGCAAAATGTCGGTCGTCCCCATCACACCACTGGGCCACACGGTCATCAACCTGGGCATCGCGTTCGGGATTTTGACTTTTATAGTCATTTCTCTCCGACTTCTCTCCAGAGCGTGGTGTAGCGGACGTATCTGGGTCGATGATGGTAAGTCGTCACATTGGTGTTTCGAGATCCGCCGCTGACCTTGTTTAGTACTCATCACCTGCGCTGCTGTGTGTCACAGCTCACTCTGCTCTTGTGGACTCACAACTGACTGGTTATATAGTTTTTGACATGGGCGTTCATGGTCACCAATATCCTAGGTATGGTCTTGATCCCGGAGTCGCCAACTAAATAGATACTAAGCTCAGACGCAGCCGTCAACCGTGGGGCCGGCCAACATCTTGATATTGTGCTCCAGGCAGGAGCCGAGAATTTGCTCATCTATTCAAAGGTACGCATCTATATATGTCCTGCTAGCAGGTTTTGACTCATGTATGCTAGATTGTCTATGTCTCGTCGATCTTCTATAACGCAAGTCTCGGTTTCATCAAAGCCTCCGTCTTGACACTATACGCACGATTAGGCGACAAACAACTGCGGTTGTTTTCTTTCATTGTCTTGGGCATCTGCGTTTGTTCAGCAACCGCCAATGTCCTCATCTGTATATTTCAATGTGCTCCGATCAAGGCCGCATGGGACACGTCGATTGTCAGCAAGACCTGTGTCAACATCAATGCCTTCTATCTAGCCAACGCAGCAACGAATATCTTCACTGATCTCTTGACCTATTTTCTGCCTGTCAGATTGGTCATGAAACTTCAGGTGCCGAGAAATCAGAAGATTGCCGTTGGTGTGATGCTGAGTTTGGGTCTTCTGTGAGTTCTCCCCCGAACCCTCCGAGGTTTCCTAGTCTTCCATGTCTTGCGTCAAGCATCAACAGGGTTTAGCCGCCTCAAAATCCGTCTGCTTCTAACATGTCGTCAGTGCTTGCATCTCATCCATTGTCCGCATCACTTTCCTACCAAACATGCTCAGTTCTCCCGACCCGACGTCCGTGATCGCCAAACCATACTACTGGTCCATCATTGAGATCAATGTCGGAGTTCTTGCTGCCTCACTCCCATCACTCAAGCCTCTCGCCAGGAGAGTCCTTCCGCGCCTGCTTGGTGACACCTCCATGAAGCCTACATACGGCCGTGAGAACAGCGACAGAAGCCGCGGCAACAGCTTCAACAAATTGGGCGGCGGGGATCAGAATGCATCTCAAACTTCCAGAGACATGTACGCCGAAAAAAGGGACATGAAAAGCCCCACCGCAGCTCACAATGGACGTGATGTCGAAATGTCCTACTTGGATACCTTGAGTGCTAGGAGCGGGGATGGACAGGCACAGCCAAGGCACAGCCACGAAAGTCAAGAATACATTGTCAAGAAGGCGGATAACGGTCAGATTGTTCGAACAGTAGAAATCAGCAGATCTGTCGAAGCCAAGGGCGGCTTCAATAGCCATTCTACGCGTCTTCACTCAGAGGTCTACCCTGGACAAGCTTGTTGAGTTGAACAGCATTGTCGACAACGCCTATAGTTCTGCCAGCTCGCAGACCGACCACACACCGGTACAGTAGTTTACGGGGCCAGCGAATGCATATAGGACTAAATCACTGTTGTTGGAAAGGAAAGCCACGAAAGTGCAGGCAACTGCACGAGGGAGGTTCGATGACACCGAAGTAATGAGAATATATCGGTGTTATCGTTGAGAAGGACGGAGCTCCGAAGACGGGTCATGGTCAAGTGTCCACAAACACAAAATGTATATATATTATTTGAAAAGGCAAATCATGTCATTCGTCAGAACGGCAATGAAATTGACGTGAATCTTCAGTCTCGGCTTTGACGAGCCATCTCACTGCTCGTTTTCATTCCTGTTGGCCATGCTGTCAGCCCTCAGGGTATAGCCAGCGATCTGAGTACCAACTCGGCATAGGCGGTATGCACGACTGAAACTTGCGTGCTGCAACAACGCAACGTTCACTATTCCAACATTGACGATCTCAATGCCCAACGGGAACATCCATTTACTTAGTACGGAGGTACAAGAGAGGTAATGCTGTACTTAGTTCGGGCCGATCTCGGTCTTTGAGAGCCAAATATCTAATTAGCACTCAACCCAGGCAAGAAGGGTCGAAGGCGACTCAGTTGGTTGGCTGGTACTGTATCAACACGCTGGGAAGCGAAACCCCTGCCTCGCTGGACTTTAAGCATTCATACCTCACCGGTTCTGCGGACTGACCACTTGTCTGGTTAAACTCCTGATGTCTCTCATCGCAAAGGATTCCACACCTTGCTCTTATTATCGTTGAGGCTTACATGAATAGGATTACTTCATGGGTCGGAGGTGGTGAAGATCCTCGGCCGGTTTTATCGGTGGAGTTCATTAACCTAAAATCAGACGGTCCCGAAGGCCGCTCCGTCGGGAAAGATTCAGCTTTTGTCCCTTCAGGACTGCCTTCATTTATTCCGGGCCACGTTTGCTGTTAATGAGGGAAAGAGCAGACACTTTTGGACCGTGTTGCGAGCATTACTATGAAGAGCAAGGCGGACATACTCTTCTCCTACGTGAGCTCTCCCCGACGTCGTTGTCAAATATCGACGAGCCCTTGAACAACCACCACGGGCAAGCGCAGCACCAGGATAGATTGAAATGTTTGAGCGTGCAACGTAGGACAGCGGCTGACCCCGCCTTCATGACCGCCATCATCGCCAGTCCGGCGGATCTATTCACGCCTTCCACTCACCTGCGGTCTGGGCCGTCGGTTTTGTGTTCAACCGGACAACCTGGCTAATATCGTTCTTAAGCCACTGGCTGACCGTTGCTGGCTCCTCATAGCCACAATATCGCGACATGCTATCAATATCGATAATCTGAGACGAGACGAGCTAGGGGGAGAGGAGGATGTTCACCGATCTAGACACGAGTCGCTACGTCTGCCACAGCGAAAGTGAAACGGACTCCCGGCCAACGAAGCGAGTCCATTGGGCAGGAGATGAAAATAACAACTTGACGGAATGGATGCGCCTGAGAAAGACGTGGTCGTGGGACTTTGAACAATTTCCCAAACGATCGGCAGCTGCGCTGGAATCGCGTTGATTTGTAGTCCTAACACCACAAGCAAAACTTTCCTGAAAATCTAGATCCGGGAAAAGGAGCCTAATTCAGAGGGCGTTGTGGAGTCTTAAGAGTCAAGGAACATTTATCTTTTTGATATTTATTTGTTTTTAACTGTCATAAAACGCCACATGGATTTTAACTTGTAGGCTTACGGTAGTTTTAAAAGGCTCACAAGCGGTCCAAGATCTTATGGTTCACCCTCAGTAGCTAGTCTTTATTGAATTATAAGGAAAAATTGGTCTAGATTCCTCAGTTTAAGGTCAAGTGCTCTGATCACTTCCCAAACTCGATCGAAGTCCTTCCTGTAGTCTTCCCATACGCCAGGTATTTGCGGGCTTAAGAGCCATACACAGGATCTGGCCTGTTCGGACGCATGCCGAGGACATGTTCAGCAAAAGGATGAGGTTATCATCATTGTGGTTGAATTGACAACCCGTCGTTATCAAATTTGGATTGCTGCAACGCCATAAGATGTAATGACGAAACTACCCAGCGCGTCTGGCCCGATTGACCGCTGGATATGACGAGAAATGCCTTGTCAGATAATCAGAATCCGTCTGTACCCGAGGTCGCTGCTTTATGAGTGCTTATTTGCTCCTCATACGTACATGACTTGATAAACGCTATAGGTATATATGTCAGGACTCACATCGCTTTGCATTGGCTACTCCCACTGTACGAGATTCAGAGCCTCCCTTCAATGTGCCCCGCTTTTGGAAAGCAGGGCTTAGAACGCTGATATCTGCCGCGAATCGCGGCATCATTGGGGGTTCGCCTCAAGACTCGGGAATGGACGAGCACTATATGATGTCTTTAAAAGCCGATACGGCATTGCAGAGCATCCAAGAGTATCATTTGTGTAGGTAAAGCTCGACACCTCAATCCTGCCGGCCGCGGAAATTCGATACGAAATCTTACGGTGATTTTGCGGGACATATGGGGCTCGTACCATCGACCGACGGCCAAGAGTAATTTCTTGTTACGCCACCCTCACGGTTGTGCAAACTTTGGCTGATGGCAACAACATTCCTACAGCCTTGCCACAGCAGCCGTGGCCACTCTGCTTCCACGGCTGGACTGATGGCCGCTTTATCATCGCTCAAGTTGCAGTCGGGGTCTCGGCTCACCGCCGGCTCTGATCGTTTCCAGCGGTCGAGCGCACCTTGGCAACCTTACGGAACGTGAGTTCGGGTATATCGCGATCCATAACAGCATGCTGAAGTTGCCTCAGACACAAGACAGAGACGGGGATGGCTCGTCAAGAGCTCAATGCCGCTGACAAAGCTGTTCGAAAGTCGTTCGTGCCAGAAGCAGAATCACTGGGTTGCAAGACCAAAGTTGACCAAATGGACAATATCCTCGCTGTCTGACCTGGGAAGAATTCAAGAGCACCTCCTATCGTGATAGGTTTGCACTTAGATGCCCAGCCCACCGACGGACAGTACGACGGGATACTTGGTGTGCTGTCGGGATTGGAGGTTCTACGCACCCTCCATGAAAATGCCCATCAAAGTGAAGGAAGTATTGGAGTCGTCAATTGGACCAAGTACGCGCCAACGTCCAGAAGTGAGTGCTCAAGCTAACCTTGTGGCTGTTCAGGTGAGGAAGGTGCTCGGTTCCCAATCGTAACCGTCTCTTCTGGTGTATGGTCTGGTACTGTTCCACTGGAAACCGCATGAGCCTGCCAGGAAGTGAGCTCAAGCCAGGATGACAACCGATACTTGCTTTCGTTACGGGTTGGCTCTCGGTCATCGCCTATTGCCTCTTCACGGCCAGCGCCACCGTGGTTTGTGCGCAGATTACGCCCGCAATCGCAGGGTTCTAGCATGATAACTATGTCGCATTGCAGTGGCAGATATACCTGATGTACATCTTGTGCCAGGCTCTAGCGACTGCTGTTGTCGTGCTCTTCCCCCGACAGCTGCAGAAGACGGAGATTGGACCCTTCCCGGTCAGCTTTTTTGGCTGCATAGTCTTCTTCATCACTGTACTCCGGCCAGTAACACCAAACAGCCAGCCAAAGTCGTGTTCACCGAGGTTACCAACGTTACTGGGTGGAGTGACGGCGTATCTTTCATCTTGGGGGTTGGGACGTGCATGTATGCGTACATTGCCACGGAGGGTGCATCCCATATCGCAGAAGTAGGTTTCGGTGGCCGCCAGAGGGCCAAGGGTTCCAAGCTGACAAGAAACAGGAAATTCCGAATCCGGGCAAAGGTGTCCCCAGAACAATGATGCTCAGTCTGGGAATATCAGCGGTTAGCGTCATCCCCTGGACTCTGGCGTTCCTCTTCTCGACCAATGATCTCGACGCTGTCGCATCTTCCACCTTCCCCATTTTCGAAGTCTATCAACAAGCGTTGAACAACCGCTCAGGTGCCACGTTCCTTGCCGTATGGCTTCTGGTCATCTACTTTGGTTCGGTTGTCAGTGTCGTCGCAGCCACAGGCCGTCTGACTTGGGCTTTTGCTCGCGACAACGGACTTCCATACTCACCTACCTTTGCAAGGCTCCACCCCACCCTCCAAATGTCCGTCAATGCGACGATTGCTTCGAGTATAGTCGTTGCCTGTTACGGTGCCATCTACGTTGGGTCCACAACAGCCTTTAACAGTTTCATTTCGATGTCGATCCTCTCACTCAATGTCACATATGCGATTCCGCAAGGCATCGTTGTCTTCCGGGGTCGAGATATGGTCCTTCCGCATGCAAGGCAGTTCAATCTGGGCAAGATTTTTGGGCCCTTCTGCAACATCTTCTGTGTGTGCTGGGTCTGCTTGTACACAGCATTGTTCTGCTTGCCAACATTTTTGCCCGCTGAGGTCGAGGACATGAATTATGTTTCTGTCGTTGTCGCCGGTTGTGCCCTAATCATTGTTATCATGTGGTTCTCTGGCAAGAGAAAGACATTTGTGGGACCGGTAAGTCAGATCCAGAATGATGAATCTTCATCCCTGTTGTGCGACCGTGAGAAGTGATACTAATGCACTTGACACAGATCATCAATATGGAACTCCTGGAGGCGGCTAAGATTCAACATGTTGACGCCGAAACTCAGGCAACAGTCTTGGCAGGTGAGAAAGAGCTCGAGAATTGATGATCACGGGCTGGAACAACTGTGCTATCGTATATTTTCATATCAACTCGACCTGCGAATAAAGGTGTTTTTCTCCAGACTAAGAAGGTTCTTAGTATTATCCTCGAATGCCATGCGTGAGGTTTTCAGACACTAAGTCTGGGTGGTGAAATGAAGAGTAAATGCCTCCTATCAAAGGTACAGCGGACTGGCTAATACGAGATTTGTTTCTTTTGCGTCGGTATTCAAGACAGAGATCGAAAACATGAACAATCCAATCAAATTGCAATGCTCCTATAGCATTACTAAAGTATGTCGTTGTTGTGTCTCTTGATATTCCTAGCACCGACGTTGATATCCAATTGCAAGCCTCTTCATTTGTTGTGCGGAGAGCGTTCGACAGTAGTCTTGGTCTAGTAGCACTGTAAGCCGTCAGCATACATACATAAATACCTCGAGGTGCTGGGGATATCATGGCCATTTGATCACCACCGGGCATAGTATTCATAAATGGACCGAGAAGAACACGAACATAAGCTCACAAGGAGAAATAATTAGATTTCAGTATGCCGAACGCCTGAAACAACAGTGAAGATGTCATCATATCCTCTGAATGTACCACATGAATTGAAGGAACCAATCATATCGAAGAATAGTGAAAGAATATACTGTTGATTAATACGGGAGATATTGACACTGACTTCCAATAAATCCCAATCATCAGCCTGGACCGATGTACGGTTTGACAAACCATGCCAATATTCGTGCGGCAACCAGGACCCAAATGGCTTCTCCTGTTTAGGGACAAGATCCCAATATGCTACCTAGACGAGAGAATGGTCGATTCATGTTTAATGAGTCGCCTATATCTTTGTATCAGAACGATTAAATTTCACCCGAGAATCGCGTAAGCCGTACTACAAAGACGCCACCTGGTGTTGGCCGGTCGATGTTTCGCGGACAAGGCCCGCCATGAGCCATGTAGCGAGCTCGGAGCCTTCCACTCGACGTTCAAAGACCACTTGGGCTGGAACAAGTGCCTCGACACGACCCCAATTGGCCGTTGCAACAACAGCCATCGTGTCAACAATCCATGGCCCCACGTCTGGCAGGTGTTCCTAGGGATATGCCAGGGCCTCCAGACACGCAACAATCTCCAATGCCAGGCTAACAAGCACAGTCTCCACAGGACCGCCCACAGCAACCAGCTCAGCGCAAGAACACGGGCGATCGGTCCTCAGCACCAGCGTCGGGAACGCCCAACATACCCCCTGATATGTTTCGTCCACCAGGATCATTGGACGCCAGCCCTTCGCCCGGGTTTCCTAGATCCACGGCTGGTCCCCCAGGCAGATTCTAGGTATTGTAAATGTAGTATCGATTCTTGATAGGCGTGAGCGATATCATATAACCAAGCGACCTTGCACTTTTCCCAGCTGTTCCACTCTCTAAAATCTGATATTGACACAGTAGTCTCAGGAATTGCCGACGCAGGTAAGGAAGTTATCACAGCTAGGCAGGGTTAGCTCCGAGCAGATCGGCCCGAAGAAATCACCCCGAGCGAGCATGGATAAGAGAGTCAAATAGGGTGAGGATGTGGGACATCGGAGAAAGTATGATGCCTTCCCTCCGAAGTACAGAAGGCCGAAATAAAAAAGAGCTTTTAGCGGGACTTGGTCAGTTCAGGCTTATTGGAGGGCATGGTACAATTCAGATATCCTATGCGCGAGAATTGTCATAGCATTCAAGTCAAGTCAGTTCGTTCGGGTTTTTCGTCTCATCTCCTCAGTCTTCTCACCTCTCTTGACCTCGACCAGATTATCCCATCAAACTCCTACTCTAAGCAGCAGACATGGATCACAGCGCTAGCCAGACTCTGGCCGAAACCGAGATTCGAATCACCCTAATTCGAGAGCGCTTCTACCGGGATTCCAGTCAGTGGACCAAGATGAGAGAATGTTATCACCCGAATCCTTTGGTCACCCTGATTGATATTTCTTGGTAGCTCTCTCTCTGACATGATATGTGTATCTCCCATGATATTTGGATCTAAAAGGTTTGCAGGTACAAAGGCGACGCGGAAGGATTCATCTTGGGCTCGCAGAAGATGGCCAACAAGGGACAATTAGCCATGCACACGATACAGCCGGTCGATATCGTCGTGAATGGACCCAAAGCATTCGCGCAGTCGGTGGGTACAATTTCGACACGGTTCACTAGGGAGGGGCTCGACTACGACTTGGTTTCGCATTGCCGACTCTTGTCACGATTGGAATGTGTTGGAGTCGCAGAAGAAATGACTGGCGAGGGTTTAGAGTCAGACTCGGGTTCATCATCGCCGTCAGCAGAGAGCATCAACGAAAAGAGAACGTCCAGAGACGGAAAATGGAAAATGCTGTCCCTAGAAATCATCTATTTACAGGACAACATTATCCCCGTCATCCCCACGGCGATTGCGGCCGACGGAGAGATCTTGAAATCGATTGCAAAGAACAGGAAATCCTATCAATTGCTGTCCTGGGTCATGCAGGCCAAGGGATATGCGATCAACGGCCAATTGCCGGGTGTCGACAGACCGGAGACGACGAGGGAGCTGCTGGAGAGGAATGAAGAGTGGGTGTCTACATAACATTGTCCTTTACACAAGTCCTATGAAAGAATGGATTAAGACCCAAGATCCAGGCAGATGAGGGCCACCTCGACATACTTTCCTAGTTTCATCACTATGATTCTACGTAGACGGCTTTGAAGTGGGTATGAATTAGATTAATGCCGCACAAAAACAGTAATTTCCTGTGCTGTGTATGCCTCGTCACACTTCTGCTCGAAGGAATACATGGATTACGGTTGTCCTGCTCTGGAATGCTCAAGCGGGTGTCGTAGGGGCCCGAAGGCTGACACCCAGAAGCCGTCAGGAACCTTCTTCGCCTCGGCCTATCTTCTCGGTCATCTACATCCCCACTCCGCTTCAACACTAGGGTCTCCGACTTTCGTCTCGGTAGGTCAGAACGGTGCTGGTAAGGAATCATTTATCTCCATGTCTCTCATTGATACAGGTGGGGAGTGTTGCGGGAAGAACTAGTCAACCGTCGGGATCCCTCTGCCCACCGACGGACACCAGGCGATATATACCACGGCCTTCACTAGAAGTGCACAAATTCCCCCTATCCGGCAACTACCCTCAAATCACAATGGCCACCCGCTCGAGCCTCGAGTACACGCCACTCCCACCCCGGGCACAAGAGGTGGTCAGCACCCAACTCTTTCTCTCTGAGGACTCGATCAAGGATGAAATCGCCCGCTTTGCCGACGTGAAACCACGACCAACAGACCACGACGGGGACACTGAGGTCCTTGAGGGCGTCACCTTTACTCATAATTTCATTCTTGGGCCAGGGGATGGCGAGGTGATCCAGTGGCACTATGTCGAGGCTGGTCGTGCTCAAGAACAACAACAGCAAACCATCGTCTTCCTTCATGGAATCCCCGACGCTTGGTACCAATGGCACATGCAGATGGCCTACCTCTCCCAAAAAGGGTTTCGCTGCATCGCCCCGGATCTCAAAGGATACGGTCAATCCGACAAATCGCCGGGGGACTACCGACATGAAGGGGTAGGCGAGCAACTGCACGCCATGCTTGAATTGATCCAGCCGCCACTAGGACCATTTAACATTGTCACTCATGACCGAGGCACCTGTCAGGCCGACCATATCGTGGCCAATCATCCGGGGTCTGTTCTGCGCTACGCCCGAGGAGAACAGCATCTATATCATTTCCACCCTTCTCTAGCTCCCCAAGGGGATCTCTTCATGAACGCACCTTATAACGGGATTCTGGACGATGCTCGGAAGCTCATTGTCTGGGCACACCTAAGTTTGGGCACCCGCCCTATCCCGGAGGATAAACTGATTCGGTCGATTCAAGAATTCTCTTATGCCGACATCAACAAAGCCGTGCCCCGGTACTTTAACTCGTCAAGTTTTCGAAGTGAATGGTTGATTCGAAGAAATGTATTGTTGGCCAAATGGAAATGTCCCGTTTTGATCCTTCAGGGCTATGACAGCAAGACCCAGCCGAGGGAGTTTTACGGGGGGGTCTCCAAAAAGGAGATGCCCAATGCAAAAAGTGTCGACGTTCAGTTTGTTAAGGCCGGACATTTCTGGGCCCTAGAAGCCCCCCAGGAGACGGCCGAACTCCTGGAGAGGTTCTTCCAGTGTCCTCTTTAATCAGAGATATAAGAGATATCTATCATTTATATACATGTCTGTGCTTGGGCCGTTGTCGCTAAAGTCGGAGTCCACGAAGAATGCACAAGCGCCATATATCATTTCAAGACGGATTTCTAGATGTGCTACAAAAGGTGTATACATATATCATTGGATTGTCTCAATCACATTCGATTTCCATCATCCCTAACCATAGATATAGACATCAAAAGGCAGGGAGCATGTCAAGCCAAAAAGGTCCCCGAAAAAATGTCTACATAGTCCAACAAATCGCCGCTGAGCTCGAGGTTGGACGACATGGAGAACCAATCCACGCTATTCAAGGGGTCGGCCACGCCCACTTCTGCCATTGCTTCCGCTGTGACCGCAGTTTCCGATGGGTTCATGATTGATAGATGCTGCTGCTGCCCGGTTCCAGCCTGGCCCTCGGTTGTATTTGCAGCGAAAAGATACTGGTCGCCCTCGATTTGGCTGCGATTGTCAATGTTGAGACTCAGCGATGTACTGTCTTGTACAGTTCTCTCTTGACCATGACCATGACTACGACCCTGAGGCTGAGGCTGGCCGCCTGGCCCAGCTGCAGCACCATAGCTCCTGTACCTCGGAATCCACGGCGTCAATCCAGCAGTCGAAGAGTGAGAAAAGACCTTCTCGTTCAGGCCTGACCCATCAGCCAACCAGGTCTGATCTGGTCTGTTCTGAGACGACGCATCTTCCCTCCGCTCCTTCGCTTTCGAGTTCGAGCTAGCCGCAAACTGCTGCAACCTCTCGGCCAGGGCGTCGAGGTTCTGTTTTGGTACGATGGACATTTCCCAGTGCTGGATGAAGCGGTCGACGGTGGCCTTAAGCAACTCAAACTTGGCCCGGATCACCGGCTTCTCCGAGTCATCCTCGGCTAAGTCCTCGATCAACAAGAACGCCGTCGCGGCCAGCCACGAGGCGCAGGCTGTGTACGGGTTGACGTTCTGGTAGTGGCTCTCGTGGCAGTTGACGACAATGTTGATCACGGCGTCGGCGGCATCGAAACATTGCTTAATCTCGCGCGAGAAGGACCCCGTTAGCGGTTGTCGATGTGCTTGGTAGTGGTCGTCCAAATTCGACATCTTGCGCGCGTACGCCTCAAAGACATACGGCCGCAGGGCCAGCAGTCTCGCAATCTCCGGCATCATGGCTAATTGATAGATATAGCTCTGTATGTGTAACGTCTCCAGACTGGTGCTGTTGCTGTTGCTGATGATAATGCTGCTGCTTCTGTTGCTACCGCGACCAAAAGTCCGCGTGCCAAAATCCAGACTCTGGCCATAGAATTTCAAGTTGGCCGGTAAGAGCATGATGCATAGCTGGATGGCGTGGAACAAAATCGAGCGACTCGCCTCTCGCGATATCTCGGGCTCTTTCTTGGATGCTATATTTCTCTTGCTTATGGACGGACGAAGCATGCTCTCGCTTGGATAGGCGAAATCATGAGCGTGCGGGTTCAGCGAGGCCAAGACAATATACCAAGCCCGCATAGACTTGCTGCTGGTAGCATGCAAGGCTTTGGACCGCGCAATCAGGTCTGATTCCAAGAAACAACTCGGCTGAGGCTGGCCGCGAAACCAGCGATCGTCCTCGGCCGGCAGGAGGACGTGGTTTTGGGTCCAATCCATGATAATGGGCACGTGTTTGAGATGGTTAGCAAACTGGTCCATCTCCCAGACAGCCCAATAGGCCCGCCGTTTCTCTTCGTCCTCACACCACTGCTCCGGATTGCTCTTGTTGGCCATCGCCTCGCCATCTTGGTCGGCATCGAGAGCGTACAGTCCCAGCTCGAGGACGATGCGAATACAGAGGCCGAGATACCTCCACGCCCGACCACGGACGCCCTTGATCAACAGCCAGTGCGTCACTAGGATAAGGGCTTGCAAAAGACATAGTGAAGGGGGCTCGTCGCCACATTCGGCCATGGCCGCGTCGACCTCGTGGAGGGCCAGAAATGCAAAGTCGGAGGATGACGAGGAGGGAAAGCCTTGGACCTGTGTCTCTTGTCCACGGGTGCTCTTGCATGCAAACGCGATCATGATGGCCAACAGAGCCTTGATAGATCTTTCGTAAGATCCTTGGGTCAGTCTCGCAAAGAAGATGGGTTCTCTAAACAGCCTGAAGGAGGTAAAGGTCGTGAAGAAGATGTGGACCCTAGTGAAGAGAGAGTCAAAGATTAGACGAGAAGTGGAAAGACGCCAGAGAAACTGCCTACAGGTGATGCATCGTCTTTACAGGGATGGCTAAGTCACGACAGACATGTAGCACCGGGTCTTGTCGGCCCACGCCGTACTCGGACGGCGACGTTGCCAGTCCTGTACTTTTGGGCGACAGGGGTTCTTCATTCGATACCCGACAGAGGAATGACACGGTTTGGATGTGCTGCGACCGGAGCAGGGCGTCGCCTTCAGGGATCGTGGCCGGGTCGGAGGTTGTGGTGTCCTCCTCCTCCCCATTATTGCCAGTTGCACTTCTTGATACTGCAGGTCTTTCTTTCAATCCAATTGTTGCTTCTGGTACCACCGTACTGACCGCCACCGGCGTGGGAACCTGGTTCTGGTTGTCCAGTCGACGTCTCTTGTGGATGCTGCCTACTTTGGGCCCTGGCTTCAACACCGCCGGGGGATAATGGCATACTTGCAGGATGGCTCGACAGTTAGAACAGCAGGGCACTTCCTTGCTGCATCGGACCTTGCGGTTTCGACAGGCCTGACAGGCGACATTAGTCCGCCGATTGTCCAGAATGGGGGCTGCCTGTACTGGTGCTGATGCTGACATGCTTGGATTTCTCGACTACGTTGCACAGACAGACCTTGATACCAGCCTCAACAAAGTGGGTGGGAATAGAGAAAGCCTAATCCGAGTCCGAGAAGTCTGGGGTCTCGCGGTTGACCAGTCTGTCGCCGTGCTAGCCTGGAAGTCTGGGGCGAGGGACAAGGCCGGGCCCATCCTTACGGTGTCCCACTACGGTGGAATAATCAGTACTGATGTAGCAATTGGGGCAGGCATATTACAAGTCACGCTAAACGATATCGAGTCTGCCGGTCTTCGCCTTCATGCATAATTAGGAAAGAGGGAGAGAACACTAAAAAAAACACTAGTACTAAATGATAGCAGCATGACAGTAAATATGTGAGTGACAGTTGCTTTCATTTGTACTATTGTTCCGCCGTACTTCTCCCTCAAATCCATCCTCTCTCTTGTATCTCTCGCAACGCTTGCCCCGCAAACTTTCTGGGGCTTTTGGGACGAGACAGTCAATCAGACCGAGAAATTGGTCCGAGCATGGTCGTTCTTTTCGATGGCGGAATTCCCTCATTTGCGACACTTCCAGCCGATCAGACAGGGAGACGACTACTTTGTCGGCAGTGATGGAGCTTCATGGACGCAGTTTGATCTAGAAATGAGGTTCACCAGATGTTTCTGTCTATAAATCTGGTTCATCCGACTGCAGCCAGGCTTTACACAACCCACCAGGGCCAGCTAGAGCAATAGCAACACTTCAAATGGCCGTCTTCGACCCGTCAGGCCTAACCCCCGACAGCCTGGTGAGCCTTGGACTTTGGACTCTCGGATCTGTAAGTGACTCGTGACTTGACAAATCATATACAATGATATCCATGTCTAATTCGTATAGGCCGTCGTCTCCTCCCTAATCTTCTGCATCTACAATCTATGGCTACACCCATTGTCCAAATTCCCGGGGCCCAAAATCGCAGCGATTGCCCCTTTTTGGGCCATGCGCCACTGGCTCTCAGGTGACAATCTCTGGAGGATCAAAGAGCTGCACCAACGATACGGGCCGGTTGTGCGGATCTCGCCCAACCAACTGTCCTTCTGCAGCAGTGCCAGCTGGAAGGACATTCATGGCCACAAACCAGGCAGCGCCCACCACAAGACGTTCCTCAAGGGAAGCTTCTATGAGCCATTCCCCGAAGATCTGCACCAGATTGTCTCGGAGTCGGACCCGGGTCGGCACGCAGCCATGAGGAAGTCACTTAGCCACGGCTTTTCGGCCAGCGCGTTGGGATCCCAGGAAGACCGCGTTCAGTATTTTGTCAACCTCCTCATTACCCAGATTGGCCGGCGGTACACTCGGGCACCCGGGGACATGAGCAAATGGTACAACTATGCGACCTTTGACGTGATTGGTGAGCTGGCCTTTGGTGAGCCTTTTGGATGTTTGGAGTCTGGTTAGCATGACCTCCTCGTGGTAGTATCACTCCATGCTAAATTCTTCTAGGAGAATCACATTACTGGATTGACATCCTCTTTGCCTCGATCAAGAACATGAATTTTATGCGATCGTTCGAGTACTCACCCTTTTTGCGATCAATCCTCCGAGCCGCCCTTGATATGAAACTTTTGCCTGCCCGAGTATATGCCCTCCGGGCTAAGATGAACAACTATGCCAGCGAGAAGTTGACGCAGTAGGCCCTAATATTGTCTATTTATGAGAGCACTTCACTCACCTAGTTCCTCAGGAGACTTACAAGCCCACCTACCCGAGTCGACTTCCTCCAGCGGATGATTTCGGAGCGCAAAGAATGGACAGGCTTGGAGTTCGAAAAATTGCGGTCCCAAGCCATTCTTTTGACTGTTGCAGGCAGTGAGACAACGGCGACGGCGCTGTCGGGCATCACGTATTACCTCTGTCGAAATCCGAGAGTGTACTCCAAACTCACGACCGAGATCCGTACTGCTTTTACCGACTACGACCAAATCACTGGTCGAGCGACGGAAGTCAACCTTCCGTACCTAAAAGCCGTCATTGACGAAGGATTGCGATTGTATCCGCCCATCGCCGCCGGTCTGCCGAGGATCAGTCCCGGCGAGACGGTGGATGGCTGGTATGTTCCAAAGGGGACGATTGTCTCGGTCAACCCCTGGGTGGCTGGCCACATCGAGATGAATTTCCATGATCCCTTTGACTTTATTCCGGAGCGATGGCTCGACCCCGAATGTAAGGATGACCGGGCCGCCAGTCAGCCTTTTTTGTTAGGGAGTCGAGTTTGTTTGGGGCGGCAGTAAGTCACCTTTTCCAACTGGTCCCAAGGAATACTGAAGCTAACAAAGTTAGTCTCGCCCTATTGGAGCTCCGGCTGATCCTGGCCAAGATCCTCTGGTCTTTCGACATGGAGCTCCAAGACGACGATCTGGACTGGGATCAAGCGAATAAAAATTACGTCTTTTGGGAGAAGCCGGCGCTTCCGATTCTGTTCAAGAGGGCGAGGGATATCACTCAATAGGAAAAAAGTACTCTCAAGGTGAAAGTATTTGGCTCCATGGACGCTTCACTCGGGTCAAGGCAGACGTGCCCAAAAGACTCAGAGCCTACCACATCGAATCAGAAACAGAATCAGCATGTCCTGAATTTACTTCCCTAAATCCTGCTTTGCTATGTGAGGAGAAAATAGGCAAGGGCATTGTAGCATTGCTGGTGACCTACTTGCGCTCTGAGTATCCTAGTACAATGTGTGCGTGTATGTGTATGTGAGTCGTTGATCTCGGGGGCTGTATCGTGTCACGAAGACGGGGGGGAGGTGAGGTGCCAATGAACTAACTGGGTAGATACGGCCTAAGCAGATATTTAGGTTAGCTAGTATGGATGAAGTGCAGTCGTCTAGTCATGAGAGTCGCAGATATACTGATGCCACAAGTATCTGATTGTCCGAGTTACAATCTCTAGCTTGTTGTCTTTGTCTGTCTGTCACTCTTCAGCTCATTCCATGTCTCACCGATGTTACTATTTCAAGTTGCACACCTCGCCTTCTTGTCTTAAAGACTACACTCGTCTGAACGTGGGCTCTCAGTTCGCAATCTCCATCTCTTCGTGGGAAGACATGTGTACCTTGGCGTGTAAGTTCTCCACCGGAGCATCCACCCGATAGTTCATGGTCTTTTTGAAATCCATGATAAACAGACACGCAATACAGGCGACGGCGCCAAACGGGGCGGCAATCATGTACACCACCCGGAGAGAGTCGGCGTACGCCTGCTTCAATGCCGCCACCCCGGCGGCGACTATTGGAGAGGTCACTCCTGGGATCTTGGTCAATGCCGCATTGTCACCACCCGCCAATGCATCGACAAACAATTGGACCGACGCCACTGGTAAGCCGGCGGTAAGGGCGGCTTTGGCGACGTAGGCCGGGATCTTGGTCTCGAGTCTATTGTCCAGGGCGGCGGCATAGATGGCGATGAAAATAGAAGCCCCGACCCCTCTCGCCGACGTCATGACCGCCGTCGCCGTGACGAAGAGATCATGTGGCGAGCATAACTGCACCCCAGCAATTACCAGAATCAAGGGGGCACCAAAACCAATCCCTGTCAAGCCGGCAAAGATGACCAGATTGGTCGACGTGTTGGGCTGTGTGGTCGCGATGCCCACGATGCCGGCGGTAAAGATAAAGAAGCCAAAGAACAAGGGCACGCGGATGGTCCGGAACTTTGTTGCTATGTATCCCCAGAAGACGGTCGACAGGCCACAGGCAACCCAGAAGGGATTTCCACGGGCGGTCAGCAGGAGAGGGTCCGTTTCAAAGAGGACGGTAGTCCTAGACAGTTAGCAGCGATGTTCGCACCTTAGTAAAAAAGCGACAGGAACTCACAACGTAGGATAGAAAATGACAAAAGCAAATAATAACAACCCCTCGACCGCGATCAGGCCGATCAAGATGGAAAATGTGCGCCCGGCATGCCTCTCCCCTTTGAAGAGACCATGATGTAGGATCCCCGTACTAGTGCCCTTCCACTCGTACACTCCAAACGCAATCAATCCGACGATACCGATAATCAGCGTTGCCAGGACCCGGGCATTGGTCCATTTATACAGGCCACCGCCGAGATTGAGACCGGTCAACAGTAACGTGAGCCCGACAGTCAGAAGGAATGACCCCAGAATATCCAAACGGGCAATCTTTTGACCCAGCGAGAGCCCATCATACCGAGTGTGACGTTTGGGGGGCCGATAGCCCACCAAAACGCCGATCGTGCCCAAGCCGAACAGGCCCATTTCGATCCACTGTCAAAGTTAGATGTTTAAGAAACATACAAGAAGAGACGAAAGAGAAGCAAGACGAGTTAGTCATCATACGTAGAATTTTCGCCAGCCGCTCTTTTGATCCGCCTTGACCAGGGCTCCGATTGAGAGGGGCCCGGCTACCGCCCCAAGGCAAGCCCCAATGTTAACAATAGATTGGGCCACTGGCGAATAAGGTCAGTCAGTGTATTTCTCACAAGACAGATAGGGGCAATTACTTGGCCTCCATTTCCTTGGCAAAATTTCGCTGGGAATACAATAAATCAAAGGGACCGTCGCGAACCCGAACCCGATCAAGGTTTGCGCGGCGATCAACCTATAGATGTCCTTGGAGCCGGGGGCTATGGCGGCACCTATAAAGGAAACGACATTTGACCCCACAATCAAGGTCTTGCGGACCTGGAACGTGTCGGCCACCGATGACAGGACCGGGCACAGCACGACCTGGACAAGGTTGAGAGAATTGGATACCCACGTCTCGGCCGTGGCGCCGTCGAGATCTTTGCCAATGTATGAGAGCTTCTCATTCTTAGTACGAATAATAGTTCTTTTGGAGGAAGTCAGGAGACGAATTACCACGGCGGGAGGACCCTGAAGGGCCATGACCTGGACCAGATACAAGATAAAGATCGCCCCAACCGCGACATAGGTCCGGGCATGTAGCTCCGGCTCCTCATCGACATTGTCATAAACCATATTGGCTGTCTCAACGGTGTCGGAATTGTGATCAAGCTTGTCCACATGAAAGAAATTCTTCAAAGTGCCGTCGTGCTTGGGAATCGTCGTCGCTGTGCTGTCCGTGGGGATGGCACTCGTGGCGAGGTGGTCGACCTTTTCGGACTCCATGTTGAGGTTGCAAGCTCTCTCAGACGTGATGGAAGACATGAGATAGAGAGTTAAAATGCAAAGAAAGGAGTCGTCAACGTAATTCACCTTGTCTATCTATATGTACTCAGGATCTTAGCCTCACCTTTGATATATGGGTTCTTCAGGATGGACGACGAGCTTGGCTCTCCAGTAATACCCCGGCCGCCCACGCTGATCCATCACACAGACCAGTATCTCCTTGATTGCCCCAGATTCTGGATCTAAAGGACCCCAACAATGCATGAGAGATGCCCAGCTAGGGAGCGAGCATCTTGGCGTCAAAAAAATGGATATTACTGTCCCGAAAAATTACTCCTATTGGCTGATATGTTTGCAGTGGAGTTATGACCCGTCTTCTCAGCCTTGTCTCTTGTGCATTTGGGCTAATAAAGTTGTTGCTCTGCTACGTTTGAGTGCTCCAGAATCTAGTTTCCACAATCTTATGTGGGGAATTATTGGGATCGCTTCATTGCCGGCACGGTGGCTGTAAGGCGAGATTGGCTATGAGGCGTGATCGAACCGATATCAGCAAGAACAGCTGGGGATCCTTTAGCTTAGGCAGCCACATACAAAGGACTTATATTTGATGGTCATGGTGGCAAATCTTTCCCTAGCTGATAATGATTCAACAGGTGGCCATAGTTAATCTAGGAGACAGAACCAGATCCTGAGAAAAATCAGAAGAAGACAATAAAGGTTTCTGTTTCTTCTCCAGATGACGTACAGAGCCTGGCTAATCACTCATCTCTTTCCCTCTCCACGCAAATTTGACAATCACTCCAGTCTGCCGCCAGAACCAGGCTGCATTGGTCTTCCACTCGGGATCAGAAGAGGCCCATTGCACATCGAGATATCGAAGTACCTGCGGGATGAACTTGCCCATTTCCAGGATCGAAATGTTTTTCCCAATGCATGTACGGGAGCCATAGCCAAACTATCACACAATTAGTCAAAGTCTCAGTACATCATCACCATTCTAATGGGTGCATTGGGAGATAATAGTAATTAAAAGACCAACAGCAACTCACAGCTAGAAAGTTCCGATCCATTGTCTTCAACTCGCCCGGTGACGCCTCTAACCACCGCTCCGGTCGGAACTGGTCGGCGTCGTCGCCAAAGACGTCTTTATTCATGTGGATCACGGGCGCATTGACGCTAACATTGGTGCCTCCTGGGATCACCTGGCCGCAAATCGTCGCTCCTTCGGCGGGGACAAAGCGTTCCAGAGGGAATGCCACGCCAGGGTGCATTCTCAGTGCTTCTTTCATCACCGCTTGTCTAGATTCCGTTAATTCTGATCCTCTAAGCAGAGAACCGCTGGGTAGAAATTCCAAATGCTCACAAATATGGCAATTTCAAACACTCCTCGTAGGTGACAAACACAGACAGCTGGCCGTTCTTGTCCGCTTCGTCAATCTCAGAGACCAGAGTCTTATAGGCCGAGGGAGTTTTTATTAGGTAGTAAAACACGGCCCGTAAGGAAATCGCCGTCGTGTCAGATCCGGCCAAACTGTAGACAGACGTCAGCGTCAGACCCAAGCTCATTCACTCACAGGCCTCATGTTTTCCATGCTGGTACTGACATGTTATTGCCCAGGTGATTGACCATGTCCCGGTGCGAGATCTGACCGTCTTTGGCTTCCTTGGCGCGAAGCTGGGCCAGGAAGTCCATCCTCCCGTGGCCACTGCTACCTTTTTGTTCTTGGTCGTATCGTTTGATCTCTTCTTCGGTGATCTGTCATCCTCTGTTAGTGGAGTTCGGCGGGAGAGTCTTCTTGACATTGAGCTTTTGCCGCATAGCTAATATGAGAATGCATATCCATACCTTAAGAAATCTCTTCAATGGGTCCGGCGGCCCAACCTTCAGTCTCGCCAAGATATTCAGGAGAGTCTTGTTTCCCACGAGATACTTGTGCAACCCCGGGAACTGGCCAATAACTTTGGCATAATTAAACGCAAAGTCCAAGTCCCCAATCATGTGGTCGACATCCCGACGTTGCTCGAGAAAGCCGAACCGGCGCTGAAAAGTGATCGACGCGATCACGTCAAATGCGTACCACTGCAACCAGGCGCCAAAGTCGATAGGGGAGCCCGCGAGCTCCCGCATCCTGTCGATGAAGATCTTGGTGCACTCGTCCGCGTAGATCTCGTAGGTTTTCATGTTGGTCATCGAAAATAGTTGCGCCACGGGCCGCTTAAGGTTTTTGTGGTAGGTCGGATCGCGCGTCGAGAACAGACTGTCCATGGGCTGATCTTTGTAGTACGGAACGAAGACGACGTAGAAGTCAGTCTATTCCAAGGCTTAAAGAGTGGCCTCTATGATTAAAGACAAGGCCATACCTTAAGATAATTGCTCCCGATGCCATAGATTTGGGGAATCACCGCCGGATCAGAGATCGAGACATGGCTGGGACCAACTCGAACAATCCGGCCATATTTCTCGTGTATTCGTCGGTATTCCACCGGCGATTGTCCTCCATACACCATGGATAGACGGTACAGCCCCGAGAATCGAGCAAGGAATGGTCCTGGGAGATTTCGGAGCCCAGGCTTGAACCCCGTACGGATGGAAGTAGCCAAACCCAAAACCACCAGGGCGATGACAAGATAAAGAAGCAGGCTCAGGTTGTGATCCATTGAGATAGTCATGCTGAGCGTACTGTCACTTTTATTGACGAATGTCCAAGAGTCTCAACACCAAAGTAGGAGAGCCTTGTTACAGTGGCAGCAAGCCGGATGTAAAAAGGGCGATCAGATATGATTGAGATTTTCCAAGGACATAGTGACAAGACCGTGATCTGGTGTACAATTCGAATACTAGGGCCGGCCTTGGGCCATTCGCCGTGACCGCCAGATATATGGTCCCACGAGACGAACGATGGACAATTTGGGAGTATTGCGGGGCATTCCTGACGTTCGGCCCATGTTCGCAGCAAAGGTGCAATTCTGCCAGACCTTGGCATCGTTGAATTAGAATCTCCTCAAGGTTCACTTTAGCAAGACATTCAATGCTTCGGACCAATTTCTCGGCCCCGCTTAGAAAAACGTCTTCATCTCTGGAATAGCCCTGAATGTGGAGGTGATGGCGGAGGCCTGGAGCATTTGAGATTTCTCCAGCTTCTCGGTGTCCACGGTGCTTCTGAATCTGCTGGGTTGGCGTTTTGTGGGAGCGGGTTTCTTCTTTAGCTAAGTACCGTTTCACCCGGCCTGAACTGTCAGAGTATTCAGCTCTACAAGGATGTTCAGGGACGAGGGATGTGGAATTTACAAACTCTTGTCTCTCACAATCGACAGACGAGGCCTGTCGTCGGTTCCAAGCGGAAATATTACGCCTTATATTGATGGACTCGGAATGTCATCTGGGATTGAGTCGATAGAGATCTATTGACAAGTGCCATGATACTAACCCAGAAAATCTAAGAGTCGTGTCTAGCACAGCATCGGCAAATTGTCGACCACTTCCGGTGTAGGAGAAGCCTCGATTGCTAGTACACATGAAATGGGCATAAAGAATTAATAGTCTCTGAGTAGCCCATATATTCATATATACATAGAATCCCAAAAATCCGAGTTATGTCGTTGCCCCCACCCATCAACCATCCTGGGGACCGGGGTACAAAGCAACATTATATTGTCCTTTTCAGTATCATATGCTTTCCAAACAAGGTTCGTGGACGTCGAACCCTCAGTAATCGTCGGTCTTCCGTTCCGTGCAAACGTGGTCCAATACTCTACCATCCGCTTGGCCAGTTGCTGCTGTGCTCCGTTCAGGGTACGCGGGATCCCGCTGCCACCACAGAATCCAGGAAAGAGGAACTGCAATTCTTGTGCATGACCGGAATCATAAGGAAATGACGGCTCAGGCCAAGACACCGGTGAGTCGGGGACATCAAATTCGTAGGCATAGACGTGTGAGACGAATTGCCGGATGACTCTGGTCGTTCTCCGGCCACAAGTCGAAATGATGCTGGCGTCGCCAACGGCAGCGGAAAGTACTTTGGCGGGGTTGGAATCGATCTTGAGAGGATATCGCTGGAGAATCGACCGCATCTTCTCCGGAGAGATCTTGGCAGAGGAAATCCGAAGCTGGGCGGCTGCACTCAGAGTCATGGCCAGGGCGTGGGGATACATGTCTGCAGATACAGGATTGTTGGTTGCAAGCTCCATCATCCCTTGAAACCAGCTAAATTCGTCTCGATTCACCCCAATCAACAGAGGGACACGACTAAACTGCCCATGGTTGAATCTTTCTCGAAGGCCTTGCGGAACAATAACCCCGTCTTCCATCAGCCCAACGGTGTATTCGCCAACGCCAAAGGAGCCTGGAGGGACGGCATTGGCTGCCAAAATGGCCTCGGTACTCATCATCCTCAGGTTGATTGCTGTTGGCTCCTTGCATCCTGCAGCTAAAGCTAAGGCAACTCCCTTTCTTTCGAGGGATGGTAACGACGGATAGACCACCGAGGGCGGCGACCCACCACTTTGCACAATCGCTCTGTGGAACAAGCCCCGTGACTGCGGTGCAGCGAGATGAACCATGACGCTGATTCCTCCAGCAGATTCACCCATGATGGTAACATTCCGTGGATCCCCCCCAAAGGCCTCAATGTTGTGTTGAACCCAGTTGAGCGCAAACTGTTGGTCCATGATGCCATAATTCCCCACAGGGTGGTCTTCCGCGTTGATGGCAGGATGCGAGAAGAAGCCAAAAATGCCGAGTCGATAGTTGAGCGAGACAAAGATGATATCTCCTTGTTCGACAAGATTCCTGGGATCATAGTCATTACTGCCACCACAGAAGAGTCCTCCGCCGGGAAACAACACCATGACCGGGTGGGGAGCTTCATTTCCTTCTTCTTGTCGAGACTTCGGGACGTAGACATTGAGATAGAGGCAATCTTCTGTCGTACTTTTGGCTCCAAAACCAGGGAAACATGAGGTATCCTGTGCACAAATGCTGCCAAAATCGACGGCTTCGAGAGTCTCTGTCCATCGAGACGGCGAGATAGGTGGCCTCCATCGAAGGTCACCCACTGGGGGAGCCGCGTAAGGGATTCCAAGGAAACTTTTCATCCCGGAGCTCTCAAACCCTTGCACTGGTCCATGTGTTGTCTTCACCACTTCTGATCTTTCACGACGGGATATTTGCGACATTGTCTCTATTCCGGCGTCTTGATAGTCAGGGAAGCGTAACTACTCCGCTGGCCACCAAATAGAATGATTCAATATAAAGTAAGTATTCACGCCACCAAGACCATATTTGAGTGGTAGTAAAGGCGGGAAAAAGATAACAAGGCCATCCTATCGTCGTGGCGTAAAAGCGAGACTACAAGGTGAGCTAATGTCTACACTCTTTTCAGTTCGATAGAAGCCAAGAATAAGACAAAGTGTCGAATAATGACTAGACTTCATAACATAGCGAATACGCTATTTCCCGGCCTAATTTTTCGGTTAATTTAGTAATAACTCTCGAGGTGTGACATTTATCTTCTTGTCGCGAGACGGCCTATTCGTAGGTTGTAGACTAAGCTATGACGACAGTGATGAGTAAAAATGGTAAATTATGTGTCTTGACTATCATGGACAAAGAAGCTTCTGTCACTCTTACCCATTAGATAACGGACTGATAGGTCTCAAATTGACCCACAGCTTTTTGTTGATTGGAGTCATGAGCCCCTGATCCCTCTGCAGCATCAGATCCGAAGTCGTGCGTGCGTCAAGGGCGATGTCGAAACGTTGGTACGGGGAACACGCCGTCAATAACAATTGAACCTTGGCAAGATGAATGCCGATACACTTACAATTTCCAATAGAAAATGCTCTATTCATCGTCTTCATCTCGGCGGAGAAGAGCATTTGCTTTCCTCATTGCAGGTGCCAGACGTTAATGGATCTTGTAGATTACCCGAGCCTCGATCTCTGCATTTAATGGACATGCAACAGGGACTCTCGTCTCGTACGTACCTTGCGTGTGTTGTTCAGAAAGTAACTCGTCGTGGCTTTGGACCTCGTCAGGAGGGACAGCAATGGCGTATCTTCAAAGCGTGCGTTGCTCGACAATCGGCTTATCTAGCGGCGCGGTGATGCCCCAATAGTGGTCCGACAGAAAATAGTACGTGTGTTTTAGGGCCTGGGCTTTTCGTACGGCGGAATAAGAACCATCAGCGCCCACAAGATACTGTGCATGATAGGTCTTGGCCCTTTCGGATCGAAAGTTGCGGGCGAGTACAGTAACACCATCATGTTTGCTGTTCAGGAGGACCGAGACGAATTCCGTGTCAAAGTCAAACCGGACCAAGCCTGATTTTCACGCTCCCCGATAAAGGATCTTGTTCAATTCACCTTGAGCGAGGTTGATCAGACTTGCACCGACGTCCAGTTTCTCGTCATCCGATGCGTAAAGAGCCTGGTAGGCACTCATGTCACCAAATACCCCAAGAGGGGCATCGTCCTGAGGCAGTCCCCGCCAGCACAGGCCTCGTGTCATAAATCCATGTTCTCGAACGATGTCATAAAGTCCAAAAGTCCAAGCTCGTCCAATATGGGCTGTACTGCTTCATAGTATCCCACCGCACGAGGTGCGGTGCATCGCTTGTCCGGGCCAAGATCTCAATGATTTGAACGGAGATTCCCACTTTGGTCAGTTTGATCGCGATCAAACATCCTCACCGCCACCAACAATAAGCACAGAAGATTTGCGATTCTGGCTCGAATGGTCGTTCGAAGGTTTGCCCGTTGTAGCAGACGAATCATTCGTTGTATTTGCCATTGCTTGAGATTGATCGTTCCAGAAGCGTGAAGAGTGTTCAGGGATGGGCTTATGGCTTGATAGTCACAACTTATACTCCGTCTCTAACCCCTTTCACCTTGCAGCTATTCTCTTTGGCAAATCTAGAAGATGGCCTCGCCAGGATTCAACCTCGAGCGATAGACGCCATGCGATCCATCGCCGCACTATCTCCATCTCGGCATTGTCGTGGGGAAGGCAATAAAGGGAGAATCTCGGCCCTTCACTTTCGACCTCTTCATTCACTCGAAATAACGTTTATGGCCGTCACTCTGCTTGTGACTGAGGCAATCTTCACCTTAACATTATGGCATACTAATGGTGAGCAGAAAGGAGAATAGAACGCTCAACTGTGGAGTTCCGTATCTATAGAAGCACTAGACGCACCAGGCTGTACTTAGCCGGTGACTTTACAACTCACTGTTGTGGTCTTCCATTGGTGGTGGTCGTCTCTGGAGAGAGAGAAAAGAGATTTGGCGTCTATGAAAGTAAAGCAAGTAAAAGGCAACGAGCCGAGGGAGACAGGGTCACCTTCCGTCTTTGGTAACTCATCCGAGGCAACCACGTGACACGCTGAGGGAAGCTCGCTCTCGCTCTCGCATGCCGTAAACGGGCGGCGATCACCGAAGTCCTTGGGCTGGACCTCGCCGGCGAGTGGATCTTCGTACAATAAAAAAACCCTTTGCAATGTCCCTGCGTAGGTGAGTTCTTTATCTTGCTGGCGCGTCCTCTCACCATGCCCACTTGCTTTGTACGAACCCAAGAGCCAAGGCCCCCCAGAGAAGAAATTGTAAAGGTTATCGCTGCGAAGCGCGTCTGCGATGGCAGCCTCCGACGGCCTTGTTCGAGCTGTTGTCCGGCTACGTACATGTAAGTCAACACATGCGCCTGCGATTCCTGCGATAGGCGCCTGGCTGTCCGATGACAGAGTCTCTGCAGAATGTCTATAAAGACAGATGCCTCCATGTCCTTCCACCCTTCTTGGAAGCACAGGGTTACTTCAGTTCACAGCCATACAAACCTGAAAAGCGCAGCGAAGCATTCACAATGTCAAGTATCATTGTCCAACCCATCAACGCCTCCGACCTGGGTCTAGGAGCATTAGTCCAAAATATCGACCCAGCACACATGTCCGAGGAAGACTTTACCGTCCTCCGCAACGCCCTCTACACGCACAACGTTATCTGTGTCAAATCACAAGGCAAACTCACCCCAAAAGACCAAGCCGAATTGACCCGCCGCTTCGACCCGGCAGCCTTGTCATACGGACATGGCAAGACGATTGATGCCAAACGCTCCGTCCTCCATCCGGACCTCAAAACCATCCCTCACCAGCCCGAGGTCCAGGTCATCGGCAACGGTTTCTTACCTGAGTACGAGGGCCTGAAGAACATTACACTGCGACATCCCCACCATCGAACCTTCCACAAGACGGTGATCCCGGACGCACAGGATTTAGATTACACCCGCTTCTATCGATGGCACATTGACGCCGCACTTTACGGCGAGCTCAACCCGCCGCTCGTCACGTCTCTGTTGGCTGTCAAGGTGCCCGGCGGGAGGAGACAGACGGTCCTGTATGACGACGGGACCGACGACGTCCTCGACGTCCCCCTTGGCACCACCGCATTCGTGTCCGGGTACAAGATGTTCGACAACCTTACTCTTAAGCAAAAGGACTTTGCCCTGACGTCCAAAGTCGAGTACGCACCTCATCCGTACGTCTGGATCTCGACCACCAAGTCCCGTCCGGACGGTTTGGGCATGGTGTCGGAAGGGAAGGAGGTTCGAATCAACGAGCTGCCTCCCATAGAGAATGAGAACGATATTCAGATCCTTCCGATGGTGTGGAAGAACCCCGTAACGGGCCGGTTCGCTCTGCAGATCCACCCTTCCGTGGTCCGCAAGATCCATTTGGAAGACGGCACCGTGATCGACGACCTAGCAAAGGTTCGCGAGATAGTGCACGACATGCAACGGCCCGCGATCGCTCCCAAATACGTCTACGCGCATGACTGGGAAGAGGGCGACCTGGTCTTGTTCAACAACCATGGAGTCTTGCACACTGTTGTCGGGGCCTTTGCGGAGAACGAGGTCCGAGTGTTCCGCCAGTGTAACTTGGCCGCGAGTAGCCCTCCTCTAGGACCCATCGCATCGTCATCGTAATGGAAGGCTTCGGGTGAACGATGAAGGAGAACCAATATATAGAGAGAGAGACGGTCATAACGTGTGTACATATTACGTATATCTGTGTATAATTGATACAGCGAATGTTTCTCATGGACTGAAAAAGTAGACATATCGAGGCATTCTCGAATGTTGAACGGAACCTTTTAAACGACAGCCATTTTTTGAAGCAGGGGGGTTCACGAGTAAGTAGACAATTATGATGCGAAGACAGACTTTATTGTACCCTTTGGCTGAATCAATCAAATCTATGCTACATGTATTAGCCATTATCGTCACGTCAGCACCGAGTATGCCAAAAAGTAAACGTCTTCCTCATCATCGTTTCATAAAGAAGTAATTCACCTGCCTGATTGCGACAAGGGAAGCAGTTTTGGTGATCCACTATCGGGAGTGTCCTGGGTATATCTACACTCCCTCCCCTCGCACCTCCAATTTACAGGGGATCGCATTGTGGCGTCGCATCTTCTGTCAATCTGCACCCCTCGACCCCGCTCTCCGATTCCGGTAGTTCAACCCGAACATTACCGAAGAGATACTTGAACATCAAACCTCTCCTCAAGCCATCACCTTCTCTTGTCCACAGCCCTCACAGCAAAGCCACTATTCCACGCTGTTCTTGAAAGTCTGGATGCTATTTTCATACGCTTAAGCCCCCTCTCAAGGAATATCCTTTGCAACCATGACGGCGGACATGTCCACCTTGACCGAGCAGCAGCGTGCAAACCACCTCATGGAAGCACAGACGATGGCCCTCGAGCTCTTCCGTGAAATCGAACGAGACTTGATCCGTCCTGGGATAAGCGAAAAGACTTTGAGCAACGAGATCCACGAGCTCGGGTCTCGACGCCACAACGTCCGGACGCACTGGCACAAACGAGTTGTCCGCAGTGGTCCCAACACACTCATGCCGTATGCAGAGAATCCGCCCGACCGAATTATCCAGCCCGATGACATTCTATTCGTCGACCTGGGCCCCGTCTTTGAGGCGTGGGAGGCTGACTTTGGCCGGACCTTCGTCTTGGGCGATGATCCAGCGAAGAAGAAGCTGCGCGACACCCTGGATCCCGTCTGGAACACGGTCAAGGCACGCTACCGCGAGGACCCCGACATGACAGGGGCTCAACTGTATGAGATTGCGTGCAGTGAGGCACGGAATGCTGGGTGGGAATTCGGGGGTCAGATTGCCGGACATCTCGTTGGGTCGTTTCCGCATGAACGTATCCCCAACGACAAGATCACGCTGTACATTACCGAAGGAAACATGGAATCAATGGGTAAGACCGATGCCAAGGGGAATAAGAGACATTGGATTCTCGAGGTTCATTTGGTGGATCGTGAGCTACAGATTGGAGCCTTCATGGAGCAGCTTCTGACTGTCGACTGAGCGAGACCTTCGGGGGTTATGTGTATGGATGTAGGTACACATGGTAGTGACCAGAACCTTGCTCATCAAAAGGAGCAGAAGAAATTTCTGGGAACGTTGCGGAAGTAAAGAAATCGTGTCAAACCCTGTTTCACGTCAGTGTTTCTGCTACAAGAGTTCTAGTCGTCGTGAGTAAAAGGATGCAATATAATTATGTCGGGATCACCCGACAAGCGAGGTCTGCTTCAATACAGCTGTAGGCCGTACTCTCATTCAAGGTACGATAGATCCGGACACGGAGGTAAAGGTTGATGACTCCGTTCTAGTAATGCCAGTGGCTACTATCTACATCGCCTCCGGGAGAGTCGAGATTTTGCAATAACTCAATGTCGAGAATTCCCCTAATAAGGCAGTGACTGCAGCCAGAACATGTCTGGGGATGTCTAAATTCCGCAACGTTCCGACTTCATGGAAGTTGAAAATTTAAAGCATGTTCCAGATTCAGGAATGTTCATATTGTGATAGACATCGTAAAGGTATCGTAGAGATTGGAGCACAAGGTTGCTCGAATTGCTTATCCTTCAAGTCAGTCTTCCTCGCGGTGAGTTTGCGGATGCGGCGCTAATATGTTCACCACAACAATGCTTTCTGTTGTCTTGCACTCTATATCGAGAACTCTCGCCCTAAATCATAGCAGTCTGCCATTGATGGTTTTGCTCAACAACAGAAAACGTTACCGAGTCAGCGTTGATAACGATGGAGGATCGAGCCTCGTTCTATTTCATTATGTTATTGTTGGTCCCCACATGCAGCTGCTAGTGATTGTGTTAGTAACATTTCTAGCATCTTCGAATATCTCTCCCCTCATTATTCAAGGTGTCTCGTACCTGAAATAGTGTTAGGAACGGTCTATGGAATAGGTAGAGTCGAATAGATAGAGTGCTAACACATTTTAAATAGGTCTTTCTATCTAAGTACTCTAGTTACAGAACTCAAAGCATGAGGAAAGAAAGTTCCTTGTTCGTGAAGATGGTGTTAAGTGTGCACGTTTCCTAAGTGCTCTTGACGGTGTGCTTGGCTTGGATTTGGTGGTATTGCTTGTTCTTTGTTTTATTCACTTGTGGTAGCGTGTCCCGATGAAAATATACAATTAAAAGTAGACAAGAGCGCTGTTGTGGTAGTATCAGTATACTTCTTTCTGTGCTAGTGATTCTGTGATCCCCTGGAAATTCTTTAGCTGTGTTAACTCTCTCATACATACGCAGACTGGAATTTCACTTACGAGCTTGCGAAGCCCGGCGCGAAGAGCGGCTTCCTTTCATTCTTCCTCCTAGTAGGTAAACCTGAAAGCAGGATGATGATCACCCATATTCTGAATCTCGTCCTGGGACAACTCAAGTCTATAGTCTCTGTCACCTCTGTCACGCTTATGATTTTCGCAGTACAGCAACACCAACATGGCCATGGCAGAGACGCCACAGAGCCAAACAAGCCCGAAGCTAGTTCCATAACCAGCGGGATATTCGGGAGCTTCAGCGGGGAGGAAAATGTTGCTGGCGATCAAGCCGCTAGCGTTGCCCAGTCCGATCTGCAGGGCACTTCCTACAGCACGTTTGTAGTGACCGGCCAAGTTATTGCTCAGCCAAACAATGGTAATGGGCTGGGAGATGAAGCCTCCAGTCGCGATGGCAAATAAAGCAAAGTACCGTCCACCAACAGAGACGGTATGGTGTGACAGCATGATGGCATATCCGACTGTGGCCACAAGACAGCCCAGCATAATGAAGCCAAAACGATGCCTTACATGATCTGCCAGGAAACCAACCGAGATTGATATGACAGCAGCCACAACGAAGACCGGGACAGTCATCAATTGGGCATTTACTGCACTGTACCCAAGCTGGTGAATAACAGTGGGTGCGAAGAATGAAATCGAGTAAGAAGTGGTGGCGATTCCCATGTACATTAGGGCTCTAGGAAGTAGGATGTCAGTTTGATTGAACTTGAACTGATGGAAGGAGGGACGGTCTGGTAGAGGCTCAGGATACTAACCCAAGGTAAATCTTGACGTCGCCAAAGATCAAAAGAGCTGTCTTCTTGGTCCACACATTCATCGTTGCTGATGCTGCATCCACTGCAAGACTATGCAAAAGGTAAGTTCGCTCCTCTGACGTGAGAAACGATGCTTTTTCAGGCCAATCCGGGAGTACGATCAGGCTGACAAGGGCCATTACAGAGGTGAGAGCTCCTGCAGATAGATCAGTTTCTGAGACCGTGTCACACAACTTATGGTAGTTCAGAACTTTACCTTCAAGGATGAAAACCCATCGCCACCCTGAGTGACCAGCAATACCATGCATAAATGATATGCCGTATGCAAGCAGTCCGGAGAAAGCCCCTGCAAGGATACTGGCAGAAAAAAATATGTTCACCCTGAATTGCATCTGGTGGCGACGATAGTACATGGAGATGACATAGATGCAGCCTGGATAGAATCCTGCCTCAAAGACGCCAAGCAGCACTCGACAAGCTACGAGACTCCCGAAGCTTTTGCAAAAGCCTTGCCCAATGGTAACAATTCCCCAGAGGAATATGTTCAGACCTAGCCAAAGCTGCGGCTTAACGTGTCGTAAGATCAGGTTGCAAGGTGCGTCCAGAAGGACAAAGGGTACGAAAAGAACAAAGAGCGCAATGTTGAATTGGTTGCCATAGAGGCCCAATTCTTTCTCGATACCGAGCACTTTCGCATTGCCTATATTGACCCTAGAAGATGATGAGCCATGGTTTCAAAAGTGAGGGCTCCCAAATGTGTACAGACCGGTCGATAAATGCTAGTAGAAAGAGAATAAAGAGCATGGGAATCAAACGCAAGTCGATCTTGCGCATCAATCTGCTCTGTGCGGCCTGGTCAAGCTCTGGGACAGCTTCTGCATCATTTGTACCAATAATCTCAAGTTCACGAGCATCTCCTCGTTCTGGCTTGTGATCAGTACTCTGATTGTACATTTTGCTCGTGTAGACTTAGGTTGGTGAGGGTATGTTGTAAATTTGTCTCAGATGTGTCAACCTATGTGAGACAGCTCGATCGTTTGGTTCGTTCAATTGTTGCTCAACCTAGCTAGTGATGATACTGAGAAGAGACGAGAAGAATAGAGCTGAACCGGAGCTCCTGTAATTGTTGTAATCATGACTTGCTTGATATACCTCCTCCAGAAGTGTGTGGAGAGATTGGATCGGGAGCAGGTCGAGCCCCGTTAACCGAGACAAAGTTTTGATAGATACTGACCATTGAGCTTGGCACATCTGGGGAAGCCGACGATATGCGTGAGCCATATAGCACTTCTGTCATGGTGTTGGACTTTGAGGTGTTTGTTCTATCTTTGCCAAGTGGCGGATGTATCCCGCGCTCAGAATCTCATCACCCGGGCCATTCCCGACTCCAGATTCCGGATGCTAGCGATGGGAGGCTCCCGACACTCAAACAGCGATGACAATCAGCAGAGACGCGGCAAGACTATGTTTCTTGGGTGGGAGCTATCCTCGTAGTCTGCTCCACTCTGGCCTTCAAAAGGAACTAATCGAATTCAGATTATCATGGTCGCCGGTTGTGTTCATCATCCAGTGTCATCATTAAAATTCTCCGAAGGTCCTGACTTCTAGCTCCTTTGTCATAAATTATAGCATTCATCAGCTTAAAGACATAAAAAAATGGCAAGCTGTATACGAATTCCATGGAGATCTTCCAGACAAATGCCCTTCGGCAGGTCCATGCAACAGGGGGAGTCTGCTATACAGGAGAGACTCAGGGTCTCGAACAGACTTGGAACTCGAAACAGGACCAATTCTCGGTTCTTCCATGCCACTAAGCAAATGCCACATGCTATGAGATCCTCAGTCTCTACCATTTCTGTACTGGCTTTGACTTTAGGCCTAGCTACTCTGGTGTGGTGGAAGACTGGGCAGCCGTCTAAATCCGAGCTCGCTGCCACAGGAACCAGATACGCAGCGAAGGCAGACATGGAAAAAGTGAGTGATGATTTTTATGAAAAGGGATATCAGAATACTGAAAGTATTGGATGAGTCAGGCCATTGCAGAAATAGCCGCCAGACTAGGCAATGATAGCATTAGTATCGACGATGAGGTGCTGTTCAGCCACGGCTTCTCAGAGTGGTCCAACCACAATGCAGATCGGTTGCCCGTTGCCGTGGTCTTCCCTTCGAACACTGAAGCCGTAGCGCAGATAGTCAAGATATGCAAAATGTATAGGATCCCCCTGAGTAAGAGGATGACTTTGAACTATCTTTTGACTCGATAGGTGGATCTGACCGTTATTCAGTTCCCTACTCCGGAGGATCCAGCGTCGAAGGTGGCATCTCCGCGCCATATGGAGGCTTTAATATCGATTTTGTCAACATGAACAAAATAGTGGAACTTCATAGAGAAGAGTAAGTATCAGTTCAGATTTCCTGGGCAAGCTTTTAACACAGAAATCGCAGCATGGATGTGGTAGTGCAGCCCGCGGTTTCTTGGATGGATCTGAACGAGAAGATCAGTGAGAGCGGGCTCTTCTTTCCCATGGACCCTGGACCAACTGCACAGATCGGAGGTATGGTGGGAACAAACTGTAGTGGTACAAATGCGGTGAGATATGGGACCATGAGAGATTGGGTCTTGAACTTGACGGTTGTTCTATCTGATGGTAGCGTTGTAAAGACTCGCCGTCGCCCCCGGTAAGGACGCGAAGCCCTCAATCTGCTTTGCGCAACTTATATTGACCCCCTGGTTCAGGAAGTCTTCCGCTGGTTACAATCTCAATGGGCTATTTGTCGGTTCTGAAGGGACGCTGGGTATCGTTACCGAAATCACTCTGAAACTGGCTCCAGTACCAGAGGCAACAGCAGTAGCTGTGGTTTCGTTCCAATCTATGCGGTCTGCGGCTCAGGCTGCGGTCGCTGTTGTCCGAAAAGGCATTCCAATAAACTGTGTCGAGATCCTTGACGATGTACAAATGAGTGTTATCAACAGAGTTGGCAACACGGATCGGTTGTGGGAAGAAGCTCCAACCCTCTTCTTCAAATTTGCCGGGTCTGAAGGCATTGTCAAGGAGAGTATTGCTGAAGTGAGCAAAATCATCAAGGACCATGGTGGAAGTGACTTCCAATTCTCGAAAGACGAGAAGTCACAGAAACAATTGTGGTCTGCACGGAAAGAAGCTCTCTGGAGTATGCTTAGCCTACGGACTTCTGGGACTGGCGTTTGGTCGACAGACGTCGCGGTTCCATTATCCCGAGTTGCTGATCTCATAGGTGAGTATCACAAGAGATGCTAGCCATTCCCTTTCTGCTTCTAACAGATTGAAGAAACATGCAAGAAAGACCTTGACGAGACTGGTCTGTTTGGGGGAATGGTCGGCCACGTGGGAGATGGCAATTTCCATGAGACGATTCTGTTTGACGGTGAGGATGAGAAAGCCAAAGTCGAGAAATGCGTTCATGATATGGTTGAAAATGCGATTGATATGGATGGAACGTGCACTGTTCGTCTCAACCCTTTCAAAATTGAGGACTTCATGCTAACAAATTGGACATCTTAGGGAGAACATGGAGTCGGTATCGGGAAAAAGTCCTTTCTTGAAATCGAGCTAGGGGAGGGTCCATTGAAATTAATGAGATCAATTAAGCAGACTTTTGACCCAAGCTGTTTAATGAATCCTGGAAAAATTTTTGACGTTTGAAAAGGGCGACGAAATTATCCTTCTAGGTGATCCGTGTTGTCGCAATATAATGGCACTGTCATGTTTGCTAGGAACTACATATCAGTTATAGCTGCAAATTCATCTTCATTTTAGAAATCCTGGCATAGAAAAATCAAGATCAAATGCACTCCACATCGCTTCTGGGATGTCGAAGGCATCCAAAGAAAATGGAGGACTACTTTCTGAAAAAATCCCAATTGTGCCTCCCATGGAGTCCATCTGTGGGTGTACTCTCTGCGTTGCGTCAAACAAGTTATGGAGTTCTGGAGGCTGGAGCAAGTCTTCGAAGTGAACGCCAGGCCTGGCTTCGTTCATTCCCGCCAGTTCCAGATCAGCGATCTGAAGTTGCAGGGGCCCTTGTGGATATAGGTTTGCTGCTCTGTTCCGTGCGACTCCAGCCTCTGATGATGGGTACGTTTCAATTAGTAACAAATGATAGGCTGGGATATGAGGAATCACTGACTTTCTTTTGGATGGAGGGCCTTTCTCCTGATGATTTTTAAGGCCGTCGCACATTGGCTAGCCTCGGGGTGTTTCCGACTCAGGAATTTCAACGTGTCTTGGGACTTTTTCCATATCTCGTCGATTCTACGGGGACCAATCTCTGCCTGCATTGCAGAGTTCAGCTCCGATAAGATCAATATCATGGATCCTGTCACAAGATCTGGAGAAATCAGAAGAAACTCGTTGAAGAGAGAGCGGAGCAGCAGCGACCGCCAACTAGATACACGTACAGAATACACCGTACCACCAAGCGCCAAAGAGACCCTTTGGCCAGGCTTCATTGAGTAACTCCACAATTTTGCATGCATTTTCGAGACAAGCCGTGGCACACCGAGCTTTGAAGGAGGTTGAAATTGTGTCGGATCGTTCATCGTTTTGCACAGAAATGTAGCTATTGCCACTGTCTTCTCGCCGCTCCGTGACAGGACTGGACCTGCAGAAGTCGCAAAATGCTGGCCTATAGATCAATAATTTCGTGTGTAGAATACTACTCATTGTAACTGTAATTAGCGTCTAAATAGGTTAATCATGTCAAGGAAGAGTCCTTCTTACCGAGCACGAAGCACAAAGCTTTGACATTGCAAGATCCGAGCATCAGCATCTTCCGTATGATCGCCGCCCAGACTCCAGGCACCCTTCAGTTCGGGTGGGATGGTTCTTTCAAATCCGTAAATAGATGACTCGAGTTGCAGAATGGAATCAAAACTCAGCAAAGTGGCCGTAAGATCATCGGCGGAGTGGTTTGCTCGACGTCCACCATATATCTTCTTCAGGACTTGGCAAATTATCTCTCCCAACTTGACATTCTCGACAGCAAATGCTGACCGGGAGAATATACCATCCGGCTGAGTACTTCTTGCAGAGGAGGCCGAGAGAAACTTGTCATCGATCGGCAAGAAGAGGGGGACCTTGAACTCCGGGCGAGGCGTCGGCACACGTCCCAAAGTCATACTCACAAGGCTGTGACAAGTTAATATCAAAAGGAATCTTGACTGAAAGAGACACCCACGCATCTAGAAGCATACAGCCATGCCATGTCCGACGCCTCATCTCAACCTCGAGCGAAGAAAGGTGCGAATTGTTAAGAGTGCACTCCAATCCAATTTCCTGAGCAATTCGAAGAGCAATTCCAATGACTATCCAGCACCTCATGGGATACTGGGTTCTTTGCAGATGAGTAGCTAGAAGCAAAAGAGTCTGAACTCCAGATAGATCAGCATCATCAAGGGTGTCTAGTCTTAGCAGGTCGTATGCATGGTCCATGAATCCGGTGCTCAGATCCTTGTATTTGTCTTCGGTCGAGGCCGAAAACTCACATGCCAATGCAAATATCGTGTTGAGTGCGCAGTAGAAGACGGCTCTGGGACAGTTGCGGCCTCCAAGCCCTACTCGAGGAAGATGTGCATCTTCTCGTTGCTCGTCACCAGGTGTCCACAGTTGGTTGTATGAATGTAAGAAGCTCTGTGTATGTAGCCATGGATAATAGCAATGCACGCCAGTGAAGTACAGGTCGATCAGATGATCAGCAACATGTCGTGGTGGAAGCGAGAAAGAACGGATGCGGGATGCGGACATAGTGTCTCGGCATCCTATTGATACGGCACGACTATGTGCTGGCTGGGGTATGGTAAGGACATGTGCTTGACTGAGGCTACTCTTCCTGCTTTGGTCTGTGATTCGATGGATTTGTGCGAGGAGTGAACTTATGGAAGAAGATCCGTAGAAGGACTCTGTTGGGCTCTCTGGCGGGATGCCCGATATGTCGGCACCCATCGCTCTCAGATGGCTTTCGACGCCTGCTGTAGGGGAAGCTTCATCGCTTCGCGGGGACTCAGCATTTACGTTATGTTCTGTGGCTGCCGAGTAGGAAGGGGTCTCGAGTGTCAACATCGTCCGGAGCCCCGTTGATTCAGGCGATGTGGGAAGATCCTCGGTTCGAGCAATAGGTTTGGATGGAACTGATGGTGAGGGAAGACATTGCCCCTCGTATGTTGTTGCCTCATCTCGTCCGTTTGACGATCTGGGTTGATCTTTAGACCTCCCTTCGCTTTCGAGGCGACGAATGCGATTATGCAGGTGGGTTATATACCTAAAGAACGGTTTCAGCTTGCGGCCCAAGCGTTTTCCGTGAGAAACATACTCTTCCTGGCTCGCATTCCTGGAGCTACCGGGAATTGGGATATAGCTGCATTCAGTCTCTGTCAGACATCGCCGCTGGCACCTCCCACAGATTGGTTTGACACCGTTGCAGCGAGCTTTGCGCTCTCGACATGGATTACACGCCAGCGCGACTCGAGAGCGTTTCTGAGGCAGGACCATGGCTCGCGCGAGAGTGTCACTTGTAACCAAGTCAAGATATGGTCCGTTCCCCCATCCTAATGTCCAAAGAATAGGACAAGTGCTGGCCGAGTTATGTTAACGACTTGTCTTCCACCCAAGAAGACATCGGGGTACTCGGTACGACAGGAGCGGGCTACGCAAGAGGCGTCCGGAGCCCCCTCCCGATTATCATCTTTGAGTACCACGAGAAAATGCGGGGCCCCGAGTTTCGCTCGGTACGTGCTCAAGTCCTTTGGAAAAATGGCGGAATATGCCGCTCGGGTTTCATATGCGCCAAGCACTCTACTACTTATTGGGTAGTTGCACAATGCGGTCCGCGTACGGAGTACTCGTCGCGACTCGGTCGATCGCTCTCCGGACACCGTGTGGGCGAGTCCGTTGCTAACCGGCCATACTGATGCCAAATGGAATTCGGGTAATACCCGGCCTCGCCTAATAGTCCAGCCTTGCTACCACAGGTCGCGCCCTTCTTGACGTTGTTTTGTGGGATTATGCCTGCTCTTTTTCTTCGGCCTGCATGCTGCCATTGCCACCTCGCTGCTACACCGGACAGAAAAGACTCATATACTATTCGTGGTCTATCACCAGCATATGCCAGTCCAAGGGGCCCATCTAAGCCTCTCCTGAAAAGACCTCAGTCCTTGTTTTCCCAATCAGATGTCGAAAACTTCATTTCTTGCCCGATGCCGGCATGTTCTGCAGTACTATGTGCCAGCTATTGCGGCTCCTTTGGTCGCATACATCCTCCGTTTATCAAAAACTTCATCTGTTTGGAACTTTCGCACCGCAGTTCTGGTGGCAATAATTCGGGCAATCTTCAATGATCCCACCCCAAGATCCATGCTCGAAGAACAACAGGGAAGCTTGGTATATGGCCCCGCTCCTGACACGATGTGGGTGGTGGCAGATGCCCTGTCGGTCCCGACAGACAACAATTTGCTGGACGTTGTCTCTAAAGCCATCGTGGAGCTTGCCAACGGCCCAGTAGATGTGCCAGAGACAACACTGGACACGGTAAAGGGCGAATGGATTGGCTCTCGTCGCGGTACTGCAAATGTCCATAATAAGCCTGCTACAGCAGATCATGAAAAATTTCAAAGGTTGATTGCAGACACATCGTCGGACCTTGTTTTCATCTTCCTCCACGGGGGGCAATTCTAGTAAGACTCCGAGCCGATCGTGAGCCCTGCTTGGTTGCTCGGTAATGACTAACTTCATCTTAGTCTTCGTAATCCCGCGTCTCGACGGACAGTCGTCCACGAACTCGTAAAGCGTACAGGAGGCCGCTGCTTCTCCATTGCCTATCGTCTTTCCCCACAGCATATGTTTCCGGCGGCGTTGCTCGACCTTCTGATTGTTTATATGAATTTACTGCATCCTCTTTCTGGCAGCAACCATCCGGCATCAGTCTCCAAGTCAATATGCATATGTGGAGACAGCTCGGGTGGAAATATTGCACTTGCATTTCTGCAACTAGTACTCTGCTTGCAACGACAATCGCCGTCCGATACGGCCCATGTCGTCTGGAACGGCCGAAATGTTGTACTCCCGTGTCCGAGGGTAGTTGTCTCTCACTCTGGATACCTAGACTTGACCCGGTCGCTGCCATCCGAGGCGGAGAATCTCAAGTACGATATGATTCCTGCTGCGTCTACATCACCATTTCCTCGAGCATCCTACTTGCAAGATTGTATTTGGCCAGCACCATCACCTCGCAACCACGTTTATGCGCCAAATGAGTTGCTAACGCACCCTCTGGTATCACCTGTCGCAGCCTCTAACTGGGAAAATCATTCGACGGCAGTATTGCTGAGCGTTGGACAGGAGTGTTTAGCGGATGGAAGCATTGTGCTGGCAAAGAGAATGGCTAAACAGGCTGTCACGGTCAAGTTGGAGTTATATAATGGCATGCCACATGATTTTACCATTGCCATGACTTCCAGCAGGTATAGTCAAGAATGTCTCAACAGCTGGGCAATGTTTGCCAAACTGGCAACTACTACACATCCATTGACTTCGTTCGATCTGACATTGGGAAAACAGGCGGTTATTTGGGACGTATCTGGTCACAACCATGTCGAAGACATTGCTGCAGTGAGCGGCCCGGAAAGATCATTGGACGACCTGGTACAGGGCATGAAGGATACAATAGCGAGCTGGGACAACCCACCAGCACGGTCCTAGAGTCGTCATTATAGTAATGTATTGCAGAGTTGGTTGGCCTGTTAAACGCATGTGCTGGCTGAACATCTCATCACCGGCACTGCTCTTATATTTTAGTTCAGAGGCTTTTAACTACAGGGTACCACACTAAAAATAAACTAACACACTTCCTGTTGACAAATTCTAATCTTGACCTATTGTTTCATAAGGGACTTGTGGGACTTCTTTCACAAAGGTTAACAATACATTCTATAGATCAAGTGTCGATAGTATGTTCTTGAAGTCGGTCGTGTCGTACGAGTATATAGGCCCTGCGATACGACCGCTGGGTACAAAGCGGAGCGCAGCCCATAATACCCATTCCTTGATGACCTGTGCTATCGGAGAGCCACCAGGTTGACGCATCCGGCGATTTCGGTCCGTGAAATCTTGAATCAGTTTCAGCCTCACTTTTCGATGTGCTTCCCAGGCATCGAGAACTCGTCCAAGCCTCTTGTCTGTGAATCCCTTGCCAATAATCGAGCTCAAAGCAAGAGCTAGACACTCCGTATCCTCCAGCGCAAGAGAGGCCCCCAGTCCACCGGTGGGGATCATTGCATGTGCCGCATCGCCCAGTATCAGTGCTCGATTGCTCGCAGAAGACCAGGACGAGAGGGGTGGCGCAACGTAGAAACTATGAGTGAAAGGGAAGTCAGAATCAACTAGTTCGAGGGATAAATCTTGGACTTACGGCCATGTACAGAGCGTTTCGTCAGGCGCAGTCTTGCCGATTGACTCAATCAGCTGTGCCCAATCTTGCTCCATACCGAAGCGCTCCGTCAATATAGTCCGGATTTTGTTCTTGTCATGGAAAAGAGCGTTCCATTCTTCGCGAGACTTTTCTTCGGGAAATTCCATGGTAGAGAAGAACCCAATCTCATTTCCTGAGAGATCCGAGGGCATAACCGCCAAGAAGCCATTACGACCGATGAAGTGCGAGGGTAGTTCAATGCCATCTCCCTGATTGTAGAGGTCTTTCTTACTTAAGAAGCCAGTCACGCCCAGCATATGAGCATAGATTGAATCTGCTCCCGGCTGGACGTACTGCCTGACAGCAGAATGCAAGCCATCTGTACCCACCACCATATCGGCGCTTTCAGTTTGTCCATTTCCAAATAACAATTCTACCCCCTTATCTCGGGAGCGCTCAGTGACTTTGACCAGTTTCATGCCGTGAATAATCTGGACGCCACGTGCAATAGCTTCCTCACACAAAACACGCTGCACATGGCGTCGATGGATACGCATCGCTGCAAAGCCATAATCCCGTTTGTGTCCATTGTGGAAGGTGGCGATGTAACCACCAATGCTATTCCGTAGATGCAATTCCTCGTACGAGTTGCCGATAGCCGTGAGTTTCTCATATACACCGAGATTTCTAAGCACTCGTAACGCGTTAGGTGCGAGTGAAATGTGCTGGCCTTGTTCGTAGCCCTCGGGCCGCAGCTCGTAGATTCTGGTGGTGATCTCGGGAAATCTCAGTAACTCAAGTGCAAGGGCAGGACCTGCGAGCCCAGCGCCCACAATAGCAATATTGAATGGCATACTTGTAATGAGGCGCAGGGGCAATCGTACTAGTGTACTATTAGACGAAAACTTCTCTTACTAGTTATCGCGATTGAAGAGGATAAGATTTAATATCGCCTTTATACCTACCAGATGCTTCTCCGCAAATATAAATATTTAAGCCCTGGGAAACCCCACTAAGACACTAGGTGTATTCGTCTGCAACCGTATCCCCATAACCAACAGAGATTAATCGGGCCATACCCGTGCTCTATCTCGGGTATTTTCCGCATACTTATAGTCTTACCCAAATTGCTAAGAGCGTTCGCAAGAATCTCTGTACAGGCTTTCATAACATACACAGGGTGTTAGGTCGATTAAGTAACTGGGTCTTCATTGTACACTTATCACTCACGCTACGCGGGTAATAGCGCTACTATTTTTCAAGTGTTAGAGGGAAGGTTGTGGTACCACGCCTCGAGTTTATAGTGGCAAACCAACACCGCGGCTAGATCTACGGGTGAAGAATCTGGTTGGAGACGGACACTTGTTCTATCCTTGACAAGGCAAGGCAGATCTGGTAGAATCATGTATCGTACTTTGAGCACCTCAGTGATGCACACACAGAGCTTGGTGAGCTCGATGAACGCCTTGGTCAATATATATCATCATGGTGCAGACGTCTCGATCCTTCGGTCCGCCACCAATCATCTTAGTGAGTCTTTCAGGGAGAAGAGCGGCATCCAGATCCTCTACTCTCAAAGGAACGTCAGAATGGCGCTCGATAATTTGGATTGGTCACCGCATTCCTATTGCGATGAGTCCGTCATGAGTGTAACACGACCCCCAAATTCTCTTCCAAAGTCTTACCTTACTCGGTGCGCAGATCCTCGGCATGGTGTTCGCATGTTTCGCTTGCACAACTTGGGTGATGGAGCACGCAGATATCCTTTAACCAAGGACGAGCTGTGAGCACCCACGACTTTCTGTTTGGTAAATAGATCATAGTGCTGGAGTCTTAACGACAATCAAGAAACTCAAAGAGATCGACGAAGGTCGTCTTGAAATAGGCAGTTATACATTGGAATCTCGACATGGGCACTTTCCATTTCCTTCTTTGGACCTAAGCACGACCTAAAGCTCGCCGCTTAAACTGTATTATGATTTTTACGGAGGACTTACGAAGCGGATGTCTTCACTTTCTGTGCTTTCCGGCTCGTAGAGCTTCTAACCCTTAGCCTAAAGAATACACGTTGGCTGGGTGTCTTTAC